GTTGTTGTTCAATAATAAAATTATTCCTCAAAAATACAACTTGCCAAATAATTCTGCACTCCCTGTAGTGATGGCAGCCTGGAAGGTCTGACACCAACTCCTCAGCAAAAATTAAATCTGCTCATCAAGTCCAATAACACAAAACTCTGAAACAATGCAGCGACACCAAGGAGGGGGGAAAGAAACACACAATCCTACCACTTTGTCATTTATTCATTAGTCTTCCTGTTTTGTTTTTGACAGAATCTTCTTCCCAGAGCTGTTTAGTGTCCAGCAAGATGACGCAGGAGAGAAGCTTCACACATTTGATGCATTTATAAATTCAATCAAGGCCATTTAAACCCACTGAGTGCTGAATTAGCATAATTGTCACAGTGGACGAAATTATAAGCAACCAATATCACAAAGAGAGCAGGGGAGAAACATATTCTTAATTTGGCTCAGAACGGCATCAAATCAAGTGTGTTTGAATAAACATTTGCTGTTACGAGCAATTAACGTCCATTCCTTTTGCTTTTTGGTGTTCTGAAACTAAATAATACGTAAAGAGCATTAAAATTAAAACTACAGAAACATTTACTTTTTTAAATTCTATTTAATTGAACGGAAATGTGCTGGAGGGTGAAAGCATCCCTTAAAGTCAAGTGTGCTTTAAATTTCTAAATATAATGAGGCCTTTATGTAAATATGTAATGTCTCAGTGGTTAAAAAAATCAGTTTTAGTGTAGAAATAACCAGTCCGGCAGGCTGACCTTTAACCCCAAAGGATTTCCTGTTTTCCTTGAACACATCTCCACACATCAACGACTGGGGGAAAGTGTAAATAATGTAATAATTTCCTTCACAATTCTGACATCTATGTCCTCCCATAGAGAGGGAATTCATATGGGCGTGAGCAGAGTTTGTGGTTGCTGCAGATTCCCATAATCATTCCAGAGCATCATTTACCCCGAGTGCAGAACGGGTGCGGATGGGAAACTGTGGCTTCTGCAAAGATCAAAAAACCCTGAGCCCAATCAGAGCACGCACACCGGCTGTGGTGAGGTGCAGGTCCGGATGCAGCGCTGTGTAATCTTTTCACATGATTTCTATTTTGCGAATGCCACATGCAGATTTTCATGAAAAGGAAAAATGTATATGTCACCGGAAGTGAGACATGTCGTTTTTGATGACAGCGATCTCAGTCCACAGGGTATGAAATGAGAAGATGAGTGTGGCCTTTGTTTACCTGCTTCTCTCTTTACACGTAGTTGCTTATTAATAAAACAGAGTGCCTAAAAGAAAAACAGAAACAACATAACTCCGATTTTCCATATAATTGTTCTTCTGTACATAATAAAGTAGAGGGAAAACAGTCACACCTGAGAGTGCAGAGCTCTAGCTCCCTAGACCTCATTAAATCCAGTCAGCAGCTTCCTGACTTTAGCTAAATCACTCCCACGCTTTAAAATTAAGACTACTTTGTACATTAATGTTCGGCTTTAAATTTAACTTTACTGCAAGAATAAGGATGTTTACAAAGAAGCCCTGGCAAAAATTCACAATCGTTAATAATTATGACATTTCAGTTGATTTACTTTCCACAGAAAATACAAAAAATATCACAAGGCTGATTAATTGAAGTGTTGGTCATTTGAGTGTTTTAGAACACGCCTTAAGTAATTTAAAAGGAGGAGCATAAATCTGACAAAGAAAGAAACATCAAGACATAAAAAACATGGATGCAAACTTTGATTTCCTGTTATCCGGTGTTGTTCTAAATGAATGCACTGTGATTAAATATTTGGGACATCCCGTATCTGCTGACCTGACAGACGATGTGGACATTTACAGACAGTGCCATCTACTGTATGTGCAGGCGAACACACTGATATGTAGATTTGGAATGAGTTCTGTACCTGTGAAAACTGCACTGTTTAAAGCATCCTGTACCCCTATGTACACTGCCCACCTATGGAGGCGGAACAAGCAAAGCAGCATGAGGAAACTCACTGTTGCATGTAATGATGGGTTAAGGACAATGCTTAGAAAGCCAAGATGGTGCAGTACAAGCACAATGTTTGTTAGTGTGGGTGTTCCCACAAGCCCTGCAGTGAGACGGTATCTCGTGTACAGTTGTATGTGTAGATTAAGGGACTATAATAACAATATAATCCAGTCCCTGACAAACCCTTCACAGAGTTCTGTCATGTTTTATTCTAACATGTTGAATTACTGGCATGTTAACCTTTATGTGAGCCTAAAGTAGCTTGCATGTATTTTACCTATTTAATTATTCTTTTTTTTATATATGTTATGGACCTTCTTGTGTCTTTAATAAAGTGATTGATTGATTGATTGATTGATTTGAATGAGAAAAATGTAATTCAGATGTGTGAACTACATAATTATTAATTTTATACTATTATCAATAATAAAATTTGATTAAAAGTAGATGACAAATCATGCCAAGTTTTAAGGATAAAGCAGGTGGAACATTGTTTATCTCCTTGTAGGATTCTAATCCCAACTACACACTGAGGCATGGTGGTGGCAGCATGGTGTGTATTTGTGTGTCTTCAGTTCAGCTAACATCCCAACAGTGAAGCATGGTGATAGTTTAGCATAGCTAAAATGTTATCTTAATGTATTCTTCAATTTGAATTTGAATCTTCATTATCTCTGTTCCCTGAAAATGTCATAAATTTAGATTTGTTTACATTTAATGATAACTTATTATAATCAAACCACTTTTTAATTAAAACCAATTCATTTTCTACCACTTGCAGTAATTCATTCATGTCTTCCCCTGTGCACATAAAGTTTGTATCATCTGCAAACATAAGTTTAACCGAGTCGATACGGAAACTATGTCATTCAAATAAAGCGTGAATAATTTTGTTCCTAGAATCGAGCCTTGCGGCATTCCCCATCTTACCGGCTGTGAATCCACATTATTGACAGTTACATATTAAAATCTGCTACTTAAATAACTTTGTAGCCATTGATTTGTTTTTTCACAAATAGTATAATGTTCACATTTTTTAAAGCAGTATGCCTCAATCAAGTCAGTTAAAACACTCACTACAGTTTCTGATCAATTGATTTTGCAACACGCTCTATAAATTCGATTACTGGTCATGAAGTTGAATGATTTTTCCTAAAGCCATATTGAAGGTCATTTAAAAGATCAAACTTATTAGTAAATGCTTCAAGTCAAATTTCTCTAATATTTTTGAGACCTGCGGTAGTAAAGAGATAGGTCTATAGTTGCAAGCTATTGTCTTACCACCACTAACTAGGTAACTCTGGCTATTTTCAATTGTTCAGGAATTATACCACTCAAAAAGGTTTAGTAGCAGGTTCAACGGTGCAGTGCATGATTTCTTTAATGAGAGACATATCTATCCCGGGAAAATCCAAGGATTTTTACTTGTATATCTGTGTACTACTTGTAAAACAATATTGGGTCTTACACCACTCAAAAACATACTTGTATTAATAATTATTTCATGCTTGATGTCAACATTTTAGCTAAATTACCATTTACAATGTTCTTATCTTCATTGTTGGTCACGATACCGGCTTCTTTTTATTTGCTATTAGTATGTTTAACACCATCCAGGTATCCTTAATGTTTTTTTTTGGTTTAAGAATAGATAGTAGTAGTCTTTTTTTTTTTGCTTTCTGATTATTGTGGTTAATTGATTTTGTATTCCTTATACAGTTAGGGTTAGAGTTCCTTTGTAGGATTTCTAATCAAAATTCAGACACAATGACTTATTTTTTACAGCCCCTTTCCAAACCTTGGAAAACCAAGGTGGGTGTTTTTAAAAGCATTTGTTTATAATATTTGAGAAGACGGTGTTTTCCTGTTTTCATCTGATTTAAAATCACCACAAATCAAAGTCATTTTGTTTCTATATCGCCCAAAAAGCTCTTCAATGCGCTCGTTAAGCTGGTCTACGGAAGAACCTGGACTACGATAAATACAATTCATAATAATGTTTCTGGATTCTTTGCATTTATTTCAATTTTCAGACACTCCATCAGGTTCTCAACAACTATGGTTCTATTCACGTCTTCTACAATCAATACCCGTCTATTAGGTCTGTTCTGATGTACATTACATAACCATCTAGTTTATCCAATAACTCTTCCCATCTTTGATCCAGGTCTCTGAAACTGCAACAGCTGTGCAACATTCAGAAGAGTCTGCTGAAATGCTGGCTTGTCCGAAATAATGCTGAATAACAGCAGAAACATGAAATTGACTTCTCTGAGCATGTGTGAATCATCTGGTCTCACACACACACACACACACACACGCACACGCACACGCACGCACACACGTGCGTTTGGTTTTCTTTCCTCCAGAGGACATCAGACGGGGATCCAGACCCTTAAAGACTCCCCTATAAGGTTACTAGGGCTGGGCAGTAAATCAAAAAGTAATCATTATCAAAATATCTGACTTTTAGAGAAAATTTTCCCCACATCAATAAATTTGTTAATAAAAAAATGAAAAGATGTGTGTAGGCTGGCAACATTCACGTCCCTTTAAGCTGTACCAGCTTGAGTCCATAAAAATGTGACTCAATACACGTGACAGCCCCATCTAGTGGACAACTTTTGTTTCTGTGCATAACTGTAGGTATCCATTTATCGTTACCGAGGTGAAATCCTCAATATATTGTGATAGGCCGTATAGCCCAGCCCTAACTGTAACATTACACAATGTTCTTTAACACCAGCGCAATTAAAAATACGACTTTGTGGCTGTTTGGCAAATCTCGCGAGAAAGAGTGGAAGTCTTTTATTCTAGAATATCAACTTCTAAAGAATAAAAATATATCTGTCTCGATACATGTAGCGTTAGCATTTATGATCTGTTTTTGTGCGTGAATTGTCCAGTTTTTTCCCATAACAAGTTTAAAACGCTTGTATTTTGTAATGATTTTGTCACCATTCTTCATTCTGATTTTTGCCTGATTTGCTTAAAGTGACAGCACACACTCAGATCTTATAAGGTAGATAGAATTTATTCCTTAATTTACACCAGATGTACAGGGACATGTGGACAGATGAGATTACAGAGGTGCACCAGAGCATCACCCAACACCTACAAACACCCATTGGTGTTAAAACATGGTTGTTTTTTCCATCGTCTTCTTACGAAAATCCAATAAAGACATTTATTGTTGTTCAAATGAGGAGGAAACAAATTCTGCTTTGTGAATGAACAGTGAGGTGAGGAGGCGCTCAGATCTCATCCAAGAAGGGCGTTTTGATGAGGTTGCCATGGGATGCCATGGCCTTCTTGCCAGTCACAAATTTCTTAGCAGCCTGGAGAAACATGAAAAGTGTCATGTTTAAGTAAAAACCAGAGAAAATCCTGCCTTTGTTTCATCAACGGGCAACAATTTGTTCCCTTACATTAGCAACATCTGTCAAGGAGACGTTGTCGATGCTTTTAGAGATTTCGTCAGCCGAGCGGTAGGATCCATCAGCGAGAGCCTGAGTGCCCATGGCTTCCAGCACGCCCTCTGAAGTCTCCAGAGACATCAGGAAGTGACACTTCAACTGGGCCCTGAAGGATGAGACATGCTCATTAAGACAGAGGTCATTGTCGTCTTCCTCCGCTTATCCAGGTCTGGGTCGCGGAGGCAGCATCCCAACTAGGGAGCTCCAGACCGTCCTCTCCCCGGCCACCTCCACCAGCTCCTCCGGCAGGACCCCAAGGCGTTCCCGGACCAGATTGGAGATGTAACCTCTCCAACGTGTCCTGGGTCGACCCGGGGGCCTCCTGCCGGCAGGACATGCCCGAAACACCTCCCCAGGGAGGCGTCCAGGAGGCATCCTGACCAGATGCCCAAACCACCTCAACTGACTCCTTTCGATCCGGAGGAGCAACGGTTCTACTCCGAGTCCCTCCCGAATGTCCAAGCTCCTCACCCTATCTCTAAGGCTGAGCCCGGCCACCCTACGGAGGAAACTCATTTCGGCCGCTTGTATCCGCGATCTCGTTCTTTCTTAAGACAGAGGTATAAGAGTAAACTTCTGGAAAAACAAGCTAAGATCAGATAGCAGCTGTATGAAGGGTACAAACTGTAGTTAAAACTGAAAACAGGCACATGGAAACTCCAGTTTCCCACTTCAACCAGACAGGTGTGCTCAGAGATGCACCACAAACCCCACTGAGACATTTATCTGCATGCTATCTACTGGATCTCCTCCATGTGAAACAGCCAAGATGGAGAGATTACAAATGAATTATTACATAACCTGCATAACTACTCCCACCTACTAGAACCTACAATTTAACTGTGAACAAGCAGGGCTCTGCTGGTTTAATCACAGATATGTGACAGATCATCGTTATTTAGGCGTTTATTTAAGCCTCACAGTTTGTCATTGATCATTTTCCCCGTTTTCTCTGAAACACAAACCGACCTAAAGCCAAGTCTGGTAGATCTTTATCACACTCAGATTTCAGTGCTGGGTACTTCTCAGCATATCATCTAGATTAGTTTCTTACTTGGCCCGAGTGAGGTCGGCAGCTGTGACCCCACCGTCAGCAACAGCCTTCACCTGAGCGAGAGCCGCCTTAATCACCTGTGGAAACGACAGACAGCCGTTACCATGGAGACACATCCAGCTGGTTCTTCTGATGAAAAGGACAAAGCGCCACTGTAACTACTTGATACTTACATCTCCAGCCGCTGCACCTTGGGAAATTGTGTAAACTCCAAACAGACCAGAGTCGGAGTAGCTAGCATTGAAAGCACTGACCTGTTACAGTAAATAAATGAATGAATCCATGTGTGAACACATCTCTCTATAGAGAGTAAATGACTGGATCAGAGTGACACTCACATCAAAGGGGTCAGCTGTTGCCTTGGCAACCCCCTGGACCAGTTTGCTGGAGCTGCTGGATCCCCTCTTGACGTGTGGACCGGCTCCCAGTAAATGCTGCAGCACGCTGAATGCCAGAGCCTCGCTGGAGCCTGCAGCAGCTGACTGGCTCACCACGGCTGAATGCACCAGACTGCCAATGCCCGGCAGACGGATCTCTCCTGCAGAACACACAACAGCTTCTAAGGCTTCATGAACTGGAGGTGTCGAAAGCTCAAGTTAGTGTGAATAATCCTGCAGGTGATTAATGGTTAGGCCCAGCTCACCCCCACGATACCGAGTCTGGGCCCTCAAGGTTCCGGCTCCACTGCGGATGTTGAGGAACTGCTCCCCCACCTGCTTCAGCACTGCGTGGTCTACGCCTGGTTTCAAGGTGAGCATCACAAGGCTTTAGTTATTAGGGAAGAGGCGTGTTTTCTCCATTATGATTAAAATACCCACATAACTGGTGTTTAGTTTTCTGTGACGAGTAAATTAAATATGATCACTCTTCTTACCAAGTCCAACGAGAGCCATTCTTCCACTTGTAAAATTGTTTTGGACAAACTGATGCAGCTGGAAGGAGAAAAAACACATTCTAGTATAAATTTTCCATCAGCACGGATGTAGAAAAGACTAAAAGGACTCACGTGTTCAGAGTGGATGTTGCCGACCATGTGGTCTGGACAGTACAGGGAGTTGCACAGGGCGTCCTTATAGGCTGCTTCGTGTAGACCCTCAACCACACCTGGGGAAGAGAAAGGCACGTAATCAAACAGAAACCTGGAGGGGATGATGGGTTTGTTTTACATCAGGGCCTGGATTTGATAGTGCAGCTTATAACAACCATTAAAGAGACATTTTATCTACACGTGAGGAAGAAACTAATAAAATCCGCCCACGCTAAAGGAAACTCTTCCTGTTCACTCACACCTCTTCTCTTTGGTGTCCCTCTCTAGTCCTTATTCATTCTAAATTCCGAGTTCATTGTGTCATTTCTGGCTAACTTTTCTCGGAAAAACAAGCTTCGAGGACAGCTGGAACGCACTATAAAGTTGTGAAGGCAAACATGGCTGGAATCTCAGAGTGTTGGCTCATATGTAGGGAAGGATTCACGGTAGTGCTGAGGTATTATGGCCGCTGCAGGCCCCCGTACCTGCCACCTGAGTGGGCTCAGCCCATCTCTCCACACAAACAGAACACACCTGTTAACTCTAGAATTTCAGCTTCATTAATACAGGCGTGACCGGCTCCTGCTAGCTTGCTGCTTCTACGTTAGACGCAAGTTTATTTTCCTGCATCAAATATTTTTGTTGAAAAAAATGGAAAAGCTTTGTCTACTTGTGGTAAAGTGCTGCAAACGGGTGTGTGTGTGTGTGTGTGTGTGTGTGTGTGTGTGTGTGTGTGTGTGTGGTGGGGGGTCAGGGTTACAGAGTCATGTCCGCCTGGCTCGTTTCCTTGAACTTTATTGAACTCTGAACAGAAACAAGCTCTCCTGTTGGCCTCTCGCCTCTAGTAATTCTTAAACATTGACTGCAAAACACAGAGACAGCTAAATTTGCTGAAACAACCATGAAATATGTTTTTTAACAGAAAGATGAATAAAATCTAAGACCTTGCTAAAGCACTCAGTCTTCTGCAGAACCACGTTTGTAACGGTTACATTTTAAAATCTGGTTAGTGATATGTTTAATTATCGTTTCATGTTATAATATCAGGATTTTTAGGTTAATAAATATGGAAATGTGGAATTCAGAAAAATAAAAACTGAATTAATGAAGTTTGGAAATAAATAAAATGGATGTAATAGGGCTAGGGATGTCCCGATACAACTTTTTCACTTCTGATACAATACAGACATTGCAGCCTTCAGTAGACTGATACCGACATCAATGCGATACAATATCTGTATAAATCATACTAGGGTTGGGCGATTAGTGTCGTTTCTCCCACCGCCAATCGTCAGTCCAAAAAAAGTCGATGGACGATTTACTCGTGCATGTGACGTCATGACGCACGGACTGATTTGCGAACACAGAAGAAGCCCAAAACATAGATTTTTTAAACAAGCGCAGCACATATGTTTGCTGGAAGAGAAATTAATATTTTTCTTTTGTTTAATTTTGTATTTGTAGTTTGGTAGAGTGACGTATAAACGGTCGTATTAAATACAGTTAACATGTTAAACAGAAGCCTCGTCTTTGCTTCCCCGTGGTGCCCACTGTTGTGGTTTTTATAAAAGCAAAATGTTTCTTTCTGAACAAAAACTTCTGGGTTGTTTCTTTTATAAGTGGGGATGGAAGGAATCGCTGCTGCGTTTGGACGCACTCTGAGGAGGCAGCTCGCTGCCAGAGGTCACATGATCCATTTACCCCGTCACTTTCATTTTCTAAATAATGAATAATCATTCGTTAAATTTCCATTCATTTTAATTAATATTTAGTGCAACCCAGCTGATCAGAATGCCCCAGTAACACGAACAATGCAATTAAACCATTTCACTTAAATTGGGAACATGTAACCTGCTGCGGCTCGGACGCACATTCCTCCTGCGCCGCGTGAACCCGACCTGGTCACCTGCAGCTTGTGTGTGATCAGATGTCTCTAGGGAGCTTGCTGAGGAGGTTATGAGCTTCCAGACTTTTGCCTCAGACAGACTCATGACTGTTTAAATAATGTTCTGGATGGATCCGTGCTCTGCTGACAAACTCGAAGCAGGTGCTGAATAACGACGAGCGCTACTTCAGCCAGAGTTTTAAATCAGGAAACGTTTCTCCAAACGAAATAACCAGAAGTCTTCCAGGCTCTGAAAGATGGAAGGGTTTCCACTTTCCGCTCAACCCCGCGCTGTAGTGCACGATGTCGAGTGCGTCACAGACGCTCTCCGAACCCCTCCTCAGCGCGCCGCTTGTGAGTGCGCTGTCAGCAGCCAGAGGCGGAGGAGGTGAGAAAAGGCTCAGATGTGCTGATGGAGATCTTTTTTTGATTGTTACCTCCGAGATGTTCTCTGTGCGTAACGTGTAAAATATTCATCAACAACAAACAAATAAACAAACAAATCGCCTCCTGTAAAGAACAACCGTAACGGCTCACCAATACCGCCGATGGCCGATTCATTCGTCCCATCGCCCAGCCTTAAATCATACATACATTTCATAATGTGGAATGTATGAAAGGCTTGATCATGTGATATTACTCAGTCGTAGAGCAAGAGTCAATAACAAAAAACGGTAAGTATGAAAAAAGTGTCCTTTTTTCTCTCAAAACCATTAGTTTCAAAAATCTGAACCTTAACAGACCGCTAATATCGGAGATTTTTGATGCAGTCCGATATAATCCCATCCAGCGTTTTTGGGCCAATAGCAAATGACTTCTGATATTCATATCGGAATGGGACATCCCTAAATAGGGCCCTGGTATACTGCTGAAGAAGTAGTGAATTCATTTTAACAACATTTTATTGTGCTTTGTTGTATCGTTGTCAGAGTACTCAGGAACACTGTGATAACATTTTTAGGCCATATTGCCCACCACCAATGTCTAAGTCCCACAACAACAGCGGTGATGTTCAACATTCTGCTCGGTCTCTGAACTCAAAAATGGCAACAAGCAGAAAGTTCTGGAGCAACCATCGACTCCGCCTCCTAGCCAACCCGTGACCGACAGTCCCTGACACCACGTTTTGGGACCGACTCAGTACGCGCTTAGAACCACATGCTGAAAAGTTGGGAGAAATAGCAGACCCATGCCGTTGCTGTTGGAGAAGGGATTTAACCCTAGTGCGTTCGTTTTAAAGTTCAGATTCTCCTCCATGAGGACGTCCATAACCTCGCTCCTCTATAGACATCTGAACTTTTACATATTAACTTGTTCACTGTCGGCCGTTTTCTGATCAGTAAAGCCCTTCGCTGCCAACGTTTTTCAGAGTTTTCACGGTCTTTTGAAGAGTTACAAAACGTTGTGCTCTATGATGATGTCAACGCCAAAACTACCAAAACAAAGCGGAGACTCACCTCTTACATCAGGAAGAATCTCCATGTGTCTAGCGTTATACGTTCTTTCGTAATCCGTTGTCGAATTGTGATCAACAGATGCTTTTCCGGTTGGTGCCTCACCTTTTTTTTTTACAGCAGCGGCCCAAAACGATCTCCTAACTCATGGAATTTCTGCTTCCTGGTCATGTGACATGTGATGTACGTGGATGAAGATCGGCTTTAGAGCTGAGATGTTTGTTCTCACCGTGCGGGGGCTCGTTCCGATGCCCACACAGTAAAAAAAATGCATATGATGTGCTGACGACTTTAGTCGTCAATGGCAGTGAATGAGTTAAAAGAACATTGTCACAGGATAAATCTGGTGTTATAATGAATAATTGGGTTTTTTCACATTACTTATAATGAAATCAAACAGCCATGTGGCATCATTACAGAACTGGTCACTTGTTTAATCAACACATTTGAACTGGTCTCTTGTAAGTCATTCCCATGGTGGGAGGGACTATAGCGGTGCACCATTTCCAGTAACTAGCAGTAACCCACATCACAGCTGAGCTTCAGACGGAAGGTTTGGAGTCTGATTTTGTGATATTTGGACATCTCGCCTAGGATTGGATAACAGCAATGCCACTCTACCACTGCCTTGCTACTTGGATGTTTTATCTCTACAAATAACACAAGCCAGGAGGAGTTCTGCTGTGTGGTGAAGTTGCTATTGCTAACGGCCAACTTAAACTAGCCAAGATGTCTGCTGCTGATTCCTGGACATTAAAACAACAACAGCCCTCCTCATTGTGAGTCAAGATGAGTGAGTCCATGAATGTTAAAGGACAGGGTGACGTAGATATGTCAGGATTTTCAAATCCTAGAGTTTCGCCATCTATTTTCTATCAGAGACTGTTGCAGGAGATAGGTGTAGGAGACTATTTTCATGTTCAGCCTGCATGAAAAACAGAATGACCCATTATAATCAGAAAAAATTAATTGAAAAAATAGATTTTCAGTGTTCCACAACTTTAATCACGCTAAACCAAGTGGAACACAAAAAGCGGGACACCATCTACTCTTTCTAATGCTTTGTGATCGTTTCAGTGTGTGTGTGTGTGTGTGTGTGTGTGTGTGTGTGTGTGTGTGTGTGTGTGTGTGTGTGTGTGTGTGTGTGTGTGTGTGTGTGTGTGTGTGTGTACTGTAGGAGAAATAAAAAGAGCCACCTATCTGAGAGCTCTGTGCAGCGCGAGCCTTGTCCAGCTTCATTCTGGGTGTGAGCTCAGACACCTCCCACGGACGGAACTCTGGAGCTGTTGTCACGTTTATCAGCAACTCCATCACCGTATCGCTGCAGAACGATAGAAAGATGGAGGAAAAAGCTCAAGGTTTGTAAGGGAGAGTTACTATTAAGTTTATTATTATTATGTTTATTCATTTAGCAGACGCTTTTATCCAAAGCGACTTACAATTTATAACCTATAGAGCATGTTGTGATCTGTGGGGGAAACTGGAGTACCCGGAGGAAACCCACGCATGCATGGGGAGAACACGCAACTCCACGCAGAAAGGCTGCAGCCGAGTTTCAAACCTGCAACCTTCGTGCTGCGAGGCAACAGTGCTAACAACGGCGCCGCCATGCAGCCATTTACCAGTTACATTTTAAAAATATAGCCATTCCCATCACAAGTGCCTGTTTAAGCACTTACATGTCGTCTCTCAAGCAGTCCACAGTGTACACCATATTCTCTCTGGACGAAGTCACGCTGCACAGAAACATGAAAATATTCACAGTGAGCACTTGTGAAAGCCTCAACTTTTCTACATCAGTTTTTAGGAGGTCATTTCTGACCTCATGCTGCCTCCAACTGCCTCGATAGCATGGCAGATTTTGAACGCAGATGCTCCCTTGGTTGTCTGTAAAATGAAAAAAAGCAGACTGCTATCAAAACGAGACAAATGTCAAAGTCTTAAAATACAGGAGAGAATTAAAAAGGCTTAAATGTTACATTTCTTAATAATAATAAAGATTTTGCAGCCCAGAAGGCTGATGAGGACAACAACTACTGTAAGCTGTACTGAACTGTCGTACCAGATTGGAGGCCAGCCTGAGGAGGTGGGTGACGCCCAGGTTGTCAGAGGTCTCATAGCGACAGCCGGCTTTAACAAAGACACCAATTTTTGAGGCTGGGGAATAATTCTCAAGTGATGCAATCACCAGCCCACTGGGCAGTTTGGTTACCTGGACATAAACACACGTGTGAGCGGCGTCACACAACAGACAATCAGCATGAAAGGCTTGTCCAAGATCCAGGGACCTCATTTATCAACCGAAGGAAGGAATATAGGAATATTTCTACAAATGTTTAATGAATGAGACCCCAGTTTAATTACATGCAGCTGGACAAAAAATAAATAAATAAATAAAAAATAGGTAAACGGTTAAAGCAGAAAATAAACAGATTAGTTTATACCATCACACCTAAACCTACATCAGCTACTCACCTGAACATCTTGTGGCTGAAACCCAGTGGCTTCCACCTTACGGGCTGCCTGGGCTGCATACAGCCTCGTCTGGAGAAACACAACACAACAAAACAACTAAAGCCATGCTGCTTTGAAGCAAGGGCACTAGAAATGAGTTTTAACAAGGAGTGTTCACCTCTTCAAGGGTAATATTATACTGTACAAACACAGGACCAAGGTTCCTCTACATTTACCAAAATCAAATGCAAGCATCTTCAAGGTGACATTTCAATGTTTTAAAGCACCTTATGTTGATGACAATTCACAATCTATAACTGCTCTAAACAATTAATTTGCATCTTTATCACATATTTACGGGTTATTGTACAAAAACTAGTTGTATTTACTGTTGAAATACAATCAGTTTATAGAAAACACGCTTTAGATTTATCATTATCAGATTCCTCATTGCCAGATTATAATCCAAACCAGTAGACGATGGACATCAGGAGACAGCCACTGATGCTGGTAAATCTTTTAAGGCACCAATGACTGTCCATCTTTAATTTCACATTGAACCAACTTTAAAGAGAGATAACCCACCCTGAATAAGTGTGTGTTTTGTGTGTCCCCGAGTGAATGAACAGTTGGGATTTCCTTTTTGTTAATTGCATGTTTTAAAATGTGCTTTTGTCGTACAAAGATTGAAGGTTTCTTTCCAAATGAAAATCACTTGATAATTTTAGTCTTCATTCACCGATCCAGATATGTATTTGAGTGAGATACACACACCTAGAGTTAAGCCTTCTGAAAAATGCTAAAGCTACTACGTACCCTCTGGTATGCTAACTAGCCTAGCTAGCTGCTAGTTGTTAATTATCTTACATTTAAACAATTGAGGAGTCAGTCATTAGAGCCTAACACAGTGGAGATTAATTCATGATCATATACATACATGTCTAGAAAAATAGTTATTCTTGGTCACATCAAGTTTTCAGATTAAACAGTCATGTCAAGCTTAGCCGGCTGCTTGTTCCAAGACAAGACAGGTATGGTTTAAAACCACCCAAAGACAGTTAGTGACAGCGACTGGATGGGATGGGAACACTGATCCCGTCACGCAAACTTTCAGAACAAATAAAGTCAGCTCTCACCGTTAACTGACTGATTCCCCGAATCCCCTTCATCTCTCCTGTCTCCTTCAGCCAGGACAACGATACAATATGGCTGAATGGAAAGTGCCCTACCCAGAATGCATAGCGCGTTCATCTCTAGCTTGCATAAACCGCGCGCCCTCTTCAGACCAACAAATAAACTGCATCAACAATTTTTCCAGATCTAAAATCACAAAAAACAAAGAGTTCGAGAACAGCAAATGGGAAATATGAATCAAATTGATTGTGTGTGGAAAATAATTGGCAAATTAAATCTGATTAGATCGTGACACTGATTAATATTTTGCATTTACATAATTAGTAATTCTATAATTAACTTTCCATCATCATCATCATCATCATCATCATCATCATCATCATCATCATCATCATCATCATCATCTTTATAAAGCATTTTCCCACAACTAATAGTCACAGTCCACAATTTAGAAAAAAAAACGACTTCATGAAAGCCCACAAACGCCTCAGGTTTAAAACGAAAACGGGTTCAAAGATAAAAAGTCTAAACCTTCTTTCATATTTTTGTTTTTTTTATTAAAGGTTTATAAGATATCCCCTCGACATTTACAGTGTCATAAAGCAATACACACCATGATACACACTCGAAAGCTGTTTTAAAATAACTTTATTTGAACTTTAGAAAGTATTTTTCAGTTTGTTCATGTTGTTTGTTAATAAAGTTTGTTTTGAAAAAATTACATTCCCTGTGCGCATGTGCAGCCTGACGACCATCACACACGTGGGGTCAACGTTTGGATCTAGTGCATGCTGCAGATAATAGTCGTTTTGTGGCGCTATTAAAACTCGAATGAAACAAGAATAATTCACGTTTCGATTGTATTTATATTCTGAAGACAAATCAAATAGTCCTCCGTGAAGCATTTCGCCGAGAGGGCCGGATTACAAAAATGGTGAGCTTAGTGTAAGAGCTAATAGGCTAACAGACGGGCTTGCATGTAGCATGAATAAGAACACACGGTTGTGCGCTTTCTTAAAATAAGATAATGTGATTTTTGTTAAAGCTGGTTTGTTCTGTTGAAGCTTATTTTGAACCTTCTCATTTTTGTGACCAGAGTGAGCCCCAAGTGAACCCAAAGGCCTACCCTCTGGCCGACGCCACCCTGACCAAAACCATCCTGGACCTGGTGCAGCAAGCCTCCAACTACAAGCAGCTGAGGAAGGGAGCTAACGAAGGTGTGGAAACTATTCGGCTATTTTACTCAACATTTATAACAGAATTTGTAACGAAACAAACGTAGAAGGTGAAAATTTTGCTTTTACATGTAATTATTGGATCATAGGCCGTGTTCTCACTGCTGACTCAATGGTCGAACCAGAATTTCTTTCTCAGATGTGACCCACTTCTGCTTTTTATGACCCACATCTGCTTTTAATGACGTTCACAACACATATTCGTCATAATTATCAAGTTAGACCTGGGTCCCTTTCATATGTAATACTTTAAATCTGAATTTTACATCGACATGTGACAGATGTTCCTATCCTGCGGCAGAGGAAGCAGGAAGCTCTTCTTTACATGTGCGTGTCTGCAGCGCTGTACACTTGCCTCACTGGAGGCTGATGGCAGCTGCATTATCAAAAATTAGAATGGCGCATTAAGACCAATCCATCTATTTTCTTCAGTTTATCCGGGGTCGTGTCACGGCAGCTGCAGTCTACGTCGAGAGGCTTATACTTCCCTCTCCTCAGCCACTTGGGCCAGCTCCTCCCGCAGAATCCCAAGGTCTCCCCTGGTCAGCCATGACATATACAGTGCCTTAACATGCACACTAGAGAACCAAAGTATTGCCCTAAAAAGACTTCTGTAGTTTTTTAAAATGCATATAACGCGTTAGTCTGGCTGAAAGGGAATTGGTTCTAATCTAGTTCAAATGATAATGATAAATGACCCGCACTTGTGTAGCGCCTCTCAGAGTAAGGACTCCAAAGCGCTTTACTCTACAGTGTGTAATTCATCCATTAACACACACATTCACACACTGATGGTGATTAGCTACGATGTAGCCGCAGCTGCCCTGGGTGCACTGTCAGAGGCGAGGCACCCAGATAATACAGTAGCAAGGAAGCGCTGTTGAACGACGGGCGCTTTGTCCCTGTTAACCTATGCTCTCAGTCACATCAGCTGGGAAGCGCCACAAAGGCTCGCTCCGTGCAGCGATCATTTTGGCGTGAGCTCTATTTTTACGTGAGCCGTGAGTGAACAATTCTGGCAGGAAGTAAACTAAAGCAGAAGAGGCAGGCTGGTAAATTTAACAAAAAAAAAATTCACAATAAAACACTGCAATTGATAAAAGTGATCATGTTTGTGTATCTAAATAGACTAGAGAGATGAAAAGGAACAAACACACACCTGCAGAAAAACGTAGTGTTACCATAATTTAAAATTCAGTGTTTACAGCAAAAGATGGATTTAATAAATGTGAATACAAACAAATGCACAGCAGCAGAATCAGCACAGTGTCCAATATCAACAAGCAAGGCAAACTGGTTACACACACACACACACACAGAGCAAGGGCATGTTTAGAAAACAGTAGGCGTGAGCAGAAGTGCTCGTTGAAAATTCTCGCCTGATGTGACCAGAAGAGGAGCGGAGAGCGCACAAATTTTGTGAGCAATCCACTCCGCGGTTCTTCGCAGCTGGTGTGTTCTGGGCATAAGTCTCCTCCCAATTGGACGTGCTTCTCTCAATGTGGAGGAGCAGCGGATCTACTCCGAGCCCCTCCTGTATGACCAAGCTTCTCACCCTATCTCTAAGGGAGAGCCCAGACACCTAGTGGAAAAAACTCATTTTGGCTGCTTGTATCCACAATCTCATTCTTTGGGTCAATACCCAAAGCTGGTGACCATAGGTGAGGGTAGGAACGTAAATCGAAAGCTTCGCCTTATGGCTCAGCTCTCTTCTCACCATGGCAGACGGTACAATGTCCGCATCTCTGCAGACTAGGGCTGGGCAATAAATCGAAAATGTATCGTTATCAAATTTTCTGACTTATCGAGATAATTTTCCCATGTCAAGATGTGTGTAGGTTGTCAACGTTCATGTCCCTTTAAGAAGCTGTACCACCTCGTAAAAGTATGACTCAATGTAAAACATGTGACAGCCCCATCTAGTGGACAACTTTTGTTTCTGCGCATTCCTGTAGTTATCGTCCGTTTATCGTTATCGAGGTGAAATCCTCATCGTGATATTGATTTTAGGCCATATTGCCCAGCCCTACTGCAGATGCATCACCAATCCACATGTCGACCTCATGCTCACTCGTGAACAAGACCCAGAGACACTTAAACTCCTGTACTTGAGAGAGGACCTCATCCCTGACCCGGAGAAGGCATTCTACCCTCTTCCGACTCAAGACCATGGTCGCTGACATAGAGGAGCTGATTCTTATCCCAGCTGCTTCAAACTCTGCTGCAGACTGCTCCAGTGAAAGCTGGACATCACGTTCTGATGAAACTAACAGGACCACATCATCTGCAAAAAACGGAGACTCAATCCTTCGGCCACCAAAACAGATCTCCTCCACACCTTGGCTGCGCCTAGAAATCTTGTCCACAAAAGTTATGAACAGAACGGGTGACAAAGGGCAGCCTTTAAGACTTACAATGTCATTTTAGTATTTTACATTATCAAACGCAGTCTACTAAAATAATGCCATATTTCTCAAATATGTGGCTTTTGGGTTGTTTTTAAACAATTCTGCATATACAAATGCTAAAAGATAGGGATGTGTATTGGTGAAATTCTGGCGATACGATACTTATCACGATACAGGGGAGACAATATATCACGATATATTGCGATATATTCAGCCGGAAAATATTAGCGATTTTTTTAGACTAAAATTATTGTAGGAAAATTCAATAAATGGCCCAAACTGATACTTAACATGATTAACATGAGGTATCTGAACCAAAATAGAGGGATTTACATTTCAGTGGTGGAAACAAACTCCATTCACACTACTGCTGACTAGCGGACGGCATTTGATTTGCACCAAAAGAAAAGAAAATACATAAATGTTTGCACGTAAATTCTTCCAAAAAAAATCGATACACAGCTTTTGAACATCGATATAATATCACAGGAAAAAATATTGTGATATATTGCTATTTCGATATTTTCTTACATTCCTACTAAAAGATAAATCATCCATAAGCTTAACTTCTCTGTAGTCTTGATTTACACACATTAATGTATTTCTTTTGTTTCCTCAGCCACTAAGACTTTAAACCGAGGCATTGCTGAGTTTATAGTCATGGCTGCTGACGCTGAACCGCTGGAGATCATCCTCCACCTGCCACTTCTCTGCGAGGACAAGAACGTGCCGTATGTGTTTGTCCGCTCCAAGCAGGCGCTGGGCCGAGCCTGTGGGGTGTCGCGCCCCGTCATTGCTACCTCTGTCACCATAAAGGAGGGCTCTCAGCTCAAGCCACAGATTCAGTCTGTTCAGATGGCTATTGAGAGACTGCTGGTGTGATTTCTAAGCACTGTTTCAACAGCAGCTCAGCTGGGTTGATGCATCCACAATTCCATCTTATTTTATGTTTGGTAAAAGAAAAAAAAAGTGCTAATCAAATGGATATTTTGTTTGCTTTTTTAAGTTGATTTTAGTTTTCACTTTGCACAGCCATCACCTGTTTAATAAAGTCATTCTTTTTAAATCTTTATTTGACTGTGAGCAGCCTTGTGAAACATCAGTTTAAGAGTTTTAGTACTGTGCAGCAAAATCTGATTTTCTACATAATTTAGCAGAAATGTGAGAAAACCTAAAGGTTGAATATGGAACAGGAACACCAAGGTAACATTTAGTGTATGGAGATTGTAGTGTAGTGTAGTATTAGGTTGGCTGCCGACATGTGAAATGATTTATTTGGGGCTATCTAGGGCAATAAATCAAAAATTTATCGTCATTGAAATTTCTGACTTAACGAGATAATTTTTCACATTTCAATACATTTGATAATTAAAAAAATGAAAAAAAGAAAATAAGAATCCGCACACTTCAATCTGCGATGTAAGAGGTCTCTGACCGAAAGCTTGACCAATAAACTCTTACATCGCAGATAGAAATGTGCGGATTCTTATTTTGTTTTTTCCACTTTTTGATCCAGCTCCTTTCCTAGACGAGCGGTGACTCCTACTATAATTGAAAAAATGAAAATATGTCTGTAGGTTAGCAATGTTTATGTCACTTTAAGAAATGGTACCACCTTGAGTCACGAAAAAAATGCCCTTGTTCGAGCTGAGCAGCGCCTCGTCTGGAAAGCAGCAGGGGGAGTGGCTGGAAGCCGGCGTTTAAGTCGGACAGATTTCCCTGCATGTAGCTTGCGGGTGATGATGGATGACGATACCACGTTTGCGTTCATACTTGTTTCATTTTTTATTTTAATTCTGGTGCCTGTTAGATGCTGAAACGTCCTCACATGCTTGTGGATATCGTATATTGTAGACGTGCATATGAAGATATGAGTGTAATAAGTAAAGGTTCTCAGCTGTAGATTTTTAGTCTGCTTATAGGAAATGTGACAAAAGAAATCAAATCACATTTTATGGCCTATAGTTGTCATCAACGTAACATGATTTACAGAATACACATGACCAACTAACATTTTGCATTCTATCACAGGATGCTTGGATCAAAATGGGAACCAATCAGATCTTCGATCAGGCAAGAGCCAGGCATTTCCCGTCATGCTCTAGGTTTTGCAGCCGGTGGAGAGCAACTGCAATGCCTTGCTCCAAAACCTGCGGCCACCTTGATCTCATGAGGTTATCGTCTACGTAGGCAGTCAGCGTTACGTTCACGTTGGACACAAATCTAACCGGCATGCACTGCTCGCCTACCACCGGTGATCTAATCTGCACAGAACCGGCTCAAACACGGCCTTTGTGACTCAATGTAATACACGTGACAGCCCCGTCTAGTGGACAACTTTTGTTTCTGTGCATACCTGTGGTTATCGTTATGGAAGAGAAATCCTTGTACTGTTGATTTTAGGCCATGTCGCCCAGGCCTCGGTCCATCTGCTGTAGCTTCACCTAAACTCACTGGTTTCAGATCTTTTATGGTCGCTCCTCTTCTGAGAAGGATAAGGACATCTGGCCTCAGAAGCAGATGCTTGACCACCAGAGTCAGCTATTTTCCACAGTACCAGCCTCACTGTGCCAAGTGGACTGATTGGCAACCTGCAGTGGTGCCCTCTAGTGGCTGGTATATAGAAACATAAACCCAGTGTCGTGACATTAAAATAAATGTTGGATAACTTTTTTAATTAAAGTGATTTTAAGGTAATACTGTAGCTTCATTCTGCACACCTCTAAATGCCCTGCGGAGGTATTATTTAGAAAAATATAGCTTATTAAACTGTTCCATATTCAACCTTTAATAAATAGAACAGAACACATTATTAATCCCACTGTGTGGAAATAAGCATGTTACGGCAGCATTTAGAGAATAAGAAAAATTACACAGGTAAATACACAAGGGCATTAGGCTATTACTGTAACCGAATAAAAATAGAAAACAGTTTCCAAGAAGAAACGGCATAAAAACAGCCGTACAAATGCACATCCGGGTATTGCACAGGTAGTTCACACATATTGAATATAGCATTGAAGTTAGATCAAGTAAAACTTCTGAATCTTCAAAATGGTTCAACGCTTGGTTGTCCATTAGATTGTAAACTTGGAAGTTTTTTTGTAATTTAAGATAACCTTTGACCTCGGCAATGATCACTAATTCAACAGGTAAAAACTTGATTTCACACCAGAGTTTACATGTTGGCCAAAAATGCTTAGACGAGTTTAAAGTGGAAGATGGCCTTTAAAAGCACTAAAGTCAAACCCAGGTTTATTTATTTATTTTAACCCTATGTGAGAGGACAAAAGACCAGAGGGACACAGTTAAAAAGTTGTAAAAAGTTCCTACTCTACCATGATTTGATCATATTTAGGCAACTAAATGCATAGTAGCATCAGGTTAGCAGTTGGAGGCGATGTTGATGAGCTTTCTTTAACCAAAGGCAATAAATACAATTGAAACGGCAGTGTGCCCAAGATGGAGATACCAGTAATAGACTTCCGTCAAGCCAACCCTCCTTCGATTTTTATAGGCGCAACTACAAGAGAAATTACGGTGTCTACGGTCAGAGTCCCTTTCAAAATAAAAGTGCACTTATAGGATGTGTGCCTGAACGTGCTGAAGAACACGTTTTCTAAGTTAGTGTAAAATTGTGCCTTAAGATAAAACTGCGTTTTAATGATTTCATCTATTTAAAAACTCACTTTCAATTACAAAACTGAAAAAGATTTAATCTTTTTTTTTTTGTAAAATTGTGTGCAAGAAAAAACTGCATTTTTAATTATTTTATTTATTTAAAAAAACTTTAAATTAAATAATAAACACAAGTTAATTGTTTATTTTTGTAAAAATTTGTGCAGGATAAAACTGCGTTTTTAATGATTTTATTTATTTCAAAAAATACCTTTAAAAGAGCGAAAACAATTTAAACATGTTTTCAGTAAAATTGTGTGCAAGATGTGTAAGAATGGCAAAATACACAAATGTTTTCTTTTAATTTAAAGTATTTTTAAAATAAATAAAATAATTAAAAATGTTGTTTTATCTTGCACACAATTTTACAGAAAAAACATTTAAATAGTTTTCATTCTTTTAATGTAAGGAAATTTTGAAATTGATCAAATCATTAAAAACACGTATCTTGCACACAATTTTACAGAAAAAGCATTTAAAACATTTTCATTCTTTTAATTATAGGTATTTTTTAAATAAATAAAATAATTAATGACACAGTTTTATCTTGCACACAGTTTTACACAAACTTAGAAAAAGTGTTCATCAGCACGTTCGTAGAAGTGCGCTTTTATTTTTAAAGGCACTCTGAACGAATACACCGTAATTTCTCTTGCAATTGCGCCAGTAAAAATCGATGGAGGACTTGCTTGACGGCAGTAGAAAAAGCAAGTATTTCAGTGACGCCAGCACACCCAGCAGGGTCCACCGTGTCATAACTGAGTTGGACCACGATAGTCAGTTGTAAACAGCTGGTTAGTGGCTCTTAAAACAGCTTTCTCGGTACAATTTATGGATGTTGCAAAGTACCATCTTTGTGAAGTATTGCAAAGTCGTAAAGCAATTGTGGATTTCCTACTTCTGAGGTTCAGTGAATGCAGCATTTGATTTTCTGCTGCCCCTGAATGAACTCAGATTTTCGCATTAGTTGAACATTAACTGCAGATTAAAACCTAAAACAAAAGAAGAAGCAGCTCATATTTCCGGGTTGGACTTCGTACCCGGAGGAGCAGCAGCCATGGCGGAGCCGCCCGTGGTCATCTGGGAGCAGGAGGTCAGAAGTCTGCTGCACTACCGAGATCTGATCCCAAGCCTAGAGGTCGCGTTGGGGAAGTTCTCCAGCCGTGACAGTGCGGAGGTGATCCAGCCTGTACGAAGCACGATTCCCTTGCAGAAACACAGCGGGTAGGTCAGATTTCTGTCTCACGGAGAAAGTTCAGCTGCTGAGGGTGAAGCTCGGTAACACTGATCTGTTTCAGCTTCATGGGGCTGATGCCTACATACATGGAGAGGGATGGGATCCTGACCACCAAGTTTGTGTGTTTCTACAAGAGGCAGGAGGGCTCAGCTCTACCAGCTGTTCAAGCCTCAGTGGTGCTGCTGGATCCAGAGAATGGCAACCTAAAGGCTGTGAGTTCAACTCCTGATTCTTCTCCCTCAGACGCTTTAGCTCCACACTCACACCTTCCTCCTAACCTGCAGGTCATGGATGGAGAGGTCATCACAGCCACGAGGACCGCTGCAGTCTCCGCCATCTCTGCTAAGGCACTTCTGTTATTGTTTATTATAAAGAACCAGTCCTGTTTCATCTGAGTTTACCTTTACCTTCTCCTGGTTCTGGTGCAGCTGCTGATGCGTCCTGGTGCAGAAGTTCTGGCCATCCTGGGGACCGGCAAGCAGGCCCAGAGTCATTATACTGTCTTCACAGAGATGTTTTCTTTTAAAGAGGTGCAAACTAATGTTTGTAGAGCAAATATGAACATAAATGTAAATATAAGACCTTATTGATCCCACAGTGGGGAATTGTGTGCGTTACCACGGCTCAGGACAGATAGCAAAAGAGAATAAGAATGACCGAGAATACAAAAACACTATAATAAGACACTAGATGACACAACAGGAGTTCCTATGTAGACACGCAGTGAGCATTATGAATGGATGTTTGTGAAGCCATGTACATGTAATAATACATAATAGCGTATCAGCTGTTCTACTACAACTATTTACTGTCCAAGTGTTACATATCTGTAAATACAGGTGAACATGTAGCACACATGTACAACATACATATATCAGGTGCATTATGTATGGAGTGGTGACCGTAGTGTTAAAGTGACTCATGACATCATAATGTGTTATAAATCCTAACTGCTGTTGGGATGAATGACCTGCAGAAGCACTCGTTGCTAAAGCGGGGGTGCATCAGTCCGACTGAAGGAGGTGCTCAGTGCACCCGCCGACTCATGCAGAGGGTGATGTGGGTTGTTCATGACGATGTCAGCTTAGCCAGCATCCTCCTCTCACAACAGACTCCAGAGGGCATCCCAGTACAGAGCTAGACCTCCGATCCTGCTCCTGTCCCTATCCGTGCATCCGCTCCCGCAGCAAGCTACTGTGTAGAAAAGAGTGAATGCAGATGCTTTTATTGTGCGTCTTTGTACAAAGCAGCACAATAAAAATGTCAACATCTGTATGGTTTAATCTGTTTGAAAAAAAAGATGATATTGTCATAGTTACAGTTTTGGCTTTGGGGTGTGTTTTTTAATTAATTGGGTTATTATTTTTTAATATTTAGATTAGACTCTGTCAAATTTCACTCACCATCTGTTTTTAATCCAAAACTCCGCCCTCCCAGCAGGAGTAGTCCATTGTTTCTGAGCTGCTCCCTGTGTGCTCCTGTTTTCTGATTCACTGTCACCTTGTTATTTTTTATTATTTGTTAAACATTTTGTGTTTCTCATTTCCTCTTTGTGAACTGATGCTAAGCAGTAGCACAAATATAACTAGTCATTCTTCTCAGATCAAATTAATTTATGCTGTAAGGACTTAAAGAAAAAGCTGCATTCCAATATGGGGTGCCATTTGTGAAGCCAAAGTGTTAACAATATGCATGGGTTAGTTAGCCTATCATAAGAGAAAAAAAAACAGAAGTTTGTTTATCAAAGTCATATTTTCACCATGTTATTTATACATTCATAAATTAGACCCCTACTAAATACTTAATTTAGAGTTAAATGTTTAGGTTACAAACTAAATATTTTGTAAGCAACTAAATCTTTAATATTTATTTTACAAACTAAATAATTAGGTCAGACCTAAATATCTAGTTTGTAAAATAAACGTTTCCTTTAGTAGCTAAATATTTAATTTAGAACTAAATGTTTAGTTTACAAACTAAATATTTTGCTTCAAATCAGATATTAAGGTCCTTGATAAATATTTATTTTGGAGCTAAACCTAAGTATTGATTTAGCTAACTAAATGTTTTGCTCCAAAAATAAATATGTAGCTGGGATCTAAATATTTATTTTTGGGAAATAAATGTTTAATTTGGAGCTAAATATTCATTTTGTAAACGAAATATTTAGCTCCATGGGGCTCCACAGTGGTTAGCGTTGTTGCTTTGCAACAATAGTGTCCTGGGGTCTTTCTGCATGCTAGCATGCTGTTCTCCTTTAATTAGTAAATTAAATGTTTATTTTACAAACTGAATGTTTAGGTTTGACCAAAATATTTAACAAAATAAATATTTAGCTTGCAAACCAAATATTTAGTTGGGAACTTTAACATTTATAAATGTATGAATAATATGATGACAATATGATTTAGAAAAGCTAACTTTCTTTTTTTTTTTCTCTTACGATTAGCTAAATAACCCAAAATACTGCTGTTAAATTATGACTGACTTTACAAACAGCATCTCATAGTCTAAGACAGATTATTAAAACTTTTGGGTCCTCTGTTTATACAAACATCTTTACAATAGTTAGACAAAACGCTGTAAAACCCCGACCATGCCACCTGGTGGTGCTAGGGTCCGCAAAACCGACACATTCTATACAGGAAAAGAACATTTACAGTTCTGTTGTCATTTTCTATGTTCCTAATTTTTTCATTTGATCCTCTTGTTTCACCTCAGGTTCGAGTGTGGAGTCGAATGAGAGAAGGAGTGGAAAGGTTCATCCAATCAGTTGGAGGTCCTGTGAAGGGATGCGCCTCAGTGGAGGAGGCGGTGAGGGGAGCTGACGTCATCGTGACAGTAACCGGGTCCACAGAGCCGGTGCTGTACAGCCAGTGGATCACACCGGGAGCTCACGTGGCAGGTGAGAAGAGAGACTTTCACAAGATAAAAGGATATCTAGAAGGCTTTAGAGCAAAACTGTCTGGAGATAAGCAAAAACAATCTATAATATCAGTGTTATGTATTCTCTCTCTCTCTCTCTCTGTTTCTGAGCAAGCCACTGTCATAATTGTATACATTAGTTATTTTTGGGGCTGAAATCTGAAGCAGTCTCATAACATTTTTGTCACAAACAAGCATTTCCACAGTGTCGGTAGATAATCGGTCCCTAAGAAGAGTTCCTCTCAGACAACACAGACAAACACCACATAACAACAGCAATAATAATAATTAAGGATGCACAATATGTCAGCATCAATATCGGTATTGGCCGATGTTAGTCGTTATTTAACATATCGGTCCGATAAATAAAACTGGGCCGTTATTAACAGCTGATATTTTTTGCATCTTGTTTCCATTTGTTTATCTGTTTCAGGGGGTGGTGTGTATTTGTTCAGTCATGTGACAGTGATTGTAATCATCTCAGAAGCATAAATGTGTGTGGTGTGTGTGTGTACATAATAAGTTCAACACTTTTCATTCTATACAAAATCTGCTGATTTTAGAAGCATTAATATCGAATATCGGTATTGGCCCAAAAATGTCATATTGATGCATCACTAATAACACTAATAATAATAATCAGATCCTTCCATTGAGAGCATATTATCAGATTGTTACTATATGTCATTCCGGTCCCCAGAATCCCCTGCTCTGCATGTTTTCCATGTTACCTTATCAAACACCTGTGTTTCTCTGCTGCCTCACACACCTGACCTAAATGAATGAGTGATTAACAGGCATCTGTTGCACCCGATGTCTTCTTGAGGAGGCATTGCAAGTATGTAAATCAGGTGTGTTGAAGCAGACACATGGAAAACATGCAGCACAGGGGGGTCCTGACCAGAAACAAGAAACACTGCTTTATGTGAAGACATTGGAAGTGGATTGCACTTGCATTGTGTACTTGACACAACAAACACAATATATATCAGAGTTATCAAAAATATTAGCTTCATCTAAACCTTCAACTTGCATTTTGGATCCAATCCCAACCAAATTATTTAAAGAAGCATTTCCTTTGGTTACTGCCCCCATTCTAGATATAATCAATCTATCCTTAGTAAATGGGTATGTACCACAGGATTTTAAGGTTGCTGTAATCAAACCCTCACTTAAGAAGCCTTCTCTGGATCCAGATGACCCAATGAATTATAGACCAATATCTAACCTTCCATTTTTATCCAAAGTCTTGGATATAATAGTGGCCATCCAAGTATGTGAGCATTTAAACACTAATGCTCTGTTTGAGGAATTTCAGTCTGGTTTTAGAGAGTATCACAGCACTGAAACTGCATTAGTGAGAGTTACAAATGATATTCTCATGGCCTCAGATAAGAATCTTGTGTCTGTTCTAGTCTTGTTAGATCTCAGTGCTGCCTTTGACACAGTTGATCACAATGTTCTTTTAGAAAGACTTGAACATGTAGGGATCAAAGGAACAGCGCTAGGCTGGTTTAAATCCTACCTGTCTGACAGATTTCATTTTGTAAATGTACATGACAAATCGTCTTCATACTCCAGGGTTACTTGTGGAGTACCACAGGGTTCAGTGCTTGGACCAATTCTTTTTACTATGTATATGCTCCCAATTGGTAAAATCATTAGACAGCATGGGATAAACTTCCACTGTTATGCTGACGATACTCAGTTATATTTATCCATTAACCCTGATGAACCTAATCGGTTGGGTAGATTACAGGCTTGTCTTGAGGACATAAAAAATTGGATGACTCTAAACTTTTTGCTTTTAAATCAAGACAAGATGGAAGTTCTCATCTTTGGACCAGAAATCCAGAAAAGGAAATTGCTTAGCCAATCACACGACCTGAATGGCGTTACATTAATCTCCGAGAACAAAGTAAGGAACCTTGGTGTTATCTTTGACCAGGACATGTCATTCAAATCCCAGGTTAAACAGGTTTGTAGGATTTCCTTTTTCCACCTTCGGAATATTGCTAAGATTAGAAGCATCCTTTCCAGGAGTGATGCTGAAAAACTAGTTCATGCTTTTATTACATCAAGACTGGATTACTGTAATTCATTACTCTCAGGAAGTCCACAGAATGTAGTTAAAAGTCTTCAGCTTGCCCAAAATGCTGCAGCTAGAGTTCTGATGAGAATTAAAATAAGAGATCATATCTCTCCTGTCTTAGCTTCCCTACATTGGCTACCTGTTAAATTCAGAATAGATTTTAGGATCCTTCTTCTCACATATAAAGCTCTTAATAATCAAGCTCCATCATACATCAGTGATCTGATTGTTCCATACGTTCCGAACCGAGCACTTCACTCTCAGACTGCAGGTCTACTGGTGGTTCCTAGAAGATCTAAAATTAGGATGGGAGGCAGATCTTTTAGCTATCAGGCTCCTCTCCTGTGGAACCAGCTCCCAGCTTTAGTCCGTGAGGCAGACACCTTGTCTACTTTTAAGACTAGGCTTAAAACATTTTTATTTTATAGGGCCTATGGTTAAAATCTGATGTTGGCCTAAATCAGGACAAGTGGGGGAGTAGAGGGAGGTGGAGTATATAGTCGGTAAAGACGGCTCTCCCTTGCCCTGCCTCCAACATGCCTCCATCTAAATAGGATAGATTTTCCAGAGTTATCTCTGTAGTTATGCTGCTATAGGCTTAGACTGCTGGAGGATACACTGACCACTTTTCACACTCGACTACTTTCTTCTACAATCTGCTCTTTAACTGTATTATTTCCTGCAATTTCAGCTGTTAACTTTATTTTTTTTTCTAAATGTTTTTCTTCCCAGAAGAAGCTACAATGATGTTCTGCTGAGCTGTGGTGGCCTCATGGAGGGGGCCATCATCTAGCACACTGTTGCTAACCACTTAAACATTATCCCTCTCCTGATAATAACTTTTTGCTTTCCTTGACGTTGGATGTGCTACTGCTAGTTTATCCGTTTAATTATAGATTCACTAGGATAAATACAATAAAGTTTATCTCTCACCAAATAGAATATTTACTAATAAATCACAATGTAACCATGGAAACACTACTTGGTGTGTGTGTGTGTGTGTGTGTGTGTGTGTGTGTGTGTGTGTGTGTGTGTGTGCGTACGTGCGTGCGCGTGTGCGAGTGTGTGTGTTTGTGTGTGTGTCTGCTCTGTCTTCTCGATCCCCAGTGAGTCGTGGAGGATGGCTACTTATACTGAGCCAGGATTCTCTGGAGGTTTCTTCCTGTTAAAAGGGAGTTTTCCTCTCAACTGTCGCTTTATGCTTGCTTAGTATGAGGAATGCTTGATGCAATTTGCTGGGTTCCTTATATAGGAAACATTTTTTATGATTGGCTTAATGAACTGACCTGAATTGGAATGTTTATTATGTGAAGTGCCTTGAGACGACTCTTGTCGTGATTTGGCGCTATATATAAAAAATTGAATTGAATTGAATTGAATATAATAGAATAAGTATATAAATCATAAAAATAAATCATTCCTGGATGCAGTGATGTGTAAATGGTTGTTATACCGCTGAAGGTCTAAGTTCTGTTGGGTTTATTATTGCTGAGAGGAAGAAGCTGGCCCTCAGTCTGCTGGTTTTTGCTTTTAAGGCTTGTAGCGACTCCTAGATGGCAGGGGTTCAAAGAGGCGGTGACGGGGGTGTGAGGGACCTGTTGACGTAGTATGAAGTGGCAAAATCTTCCAGAGAGTGAAGAGGACAGCCAGTGAGCTCTTCTGCAGATAAGATCATTTTCTGCGGGGTTTTGTGTCTGCAGCAGAGCAGCAAACCACCCAGAGATGTCGTAGTGGAGGATGCTCTCGATGGTTGCGTAGAACGCCACCAGCCACTTCCTCTTCAGGTCATTCCTCCTGAGCTACCTGAGGACGTACAGCCTCTGCTGGGGTCTCTTCTGGAATTTAATAACGAGGGTTTAGAGGAATATACAAACACTGTTATGGAGGCAGAGGTCTTTACAAGGGTTCTGCTGGGATTGTGTTCCCTTCAGACGAACATCTGAATCAACGTAGTTTCACTGAGATGTTTTTGTTCTCTCACCCATCAGCGGTCGGGGCTTGTAGACCCGACTGGCGGGAGCTGGACGATGTGTTGATGAAGGACGCCATTGTGTACGTGGACAGCAGAGAGGGGGCGATGACTGAGTCTGGTGACATCATCCTCTCTGGGGTCAGTTTTTTAGAACATGTAGTGATGTTTCACACAAAAACAAATTGAAAAATAAACAATTTGGAATCTGATTTTCACAGGCTGAGGTGTTTGCAGAGCTTGGAGATGTTATCAACGGATCTAAAGCTGCTCACAGAGAGAGAACCACCGTGTTCAAGTCTCTTGGTAGGTCTCACCGCATGAAGAATTGTCCATGTCTGCTTTTGTTTGTGATCTGTTAGATCATGTGGTTTATTGTTTTGTGTTTGCAGGAATGGGAGTGGAAGATGCAGTGTCTGCTCAGCTGGTATTTGACCAATGGAAAGACAAAAAATAAGGATCCTGCTTTATCTCGGATTCGTTTTGTTGGACAAAGATGGTCAAAACTGAACAGATCTTGTGCGTTTGTCAGTCCTTTTACGTTGTACGACAACTAAAACACAACCAGGTGGATAACCAGGTCTTACCGTGGCACAGAAAGAGAAATCACGGCTATGAAAGAATGACATCTCTGAGAGAGTTTTACCAATCGATCACAAACCCATTGGTCACTTTAGATTAAAAGTCCAACCTGAAGTCACCTGCATGGCTAAAAGCACAATTCATCATTTCTACCATCCAATGTTACAAATTATTTTTGTATTACTTGATCAAAATGTAGTTTTTATTGTTTTTACAGTTTTTATCAATTGTTTACACACATTTTCTGGTACTTGAGACACAATGACCACAACATGTAACCAATTCACCAACTCCCTTAACCAATTCTGCCAAACTACAATCACAATTCCTGCTTTGCACTCAAATTGCAAATCTAAAACACACTTTTTTCAAAACACTACACACAATTCTCTGCTGTTGGCACAAATTTCATGCAGAAAATATCTTGTTTTCACAAGGAACACACTGCTATTTAAATAAGCACACTGACTCATCACAAGGGCAAACACCCATCACACAGTTTTACAATCAGCAATCAGAGCTTTAGCATAAAAGGGCAACAGGAGAGCTCTTCTGTGTTGGAGCAATGGATGTCAACATTGGAAACAGAGGCAGAGCCAGAGGAGTGAGAGTAAAAGGAGGAGGACGAGGAAGACCAAGGACCGTAATCTCTGATGAGATCCGAGCCACTTTAGTTGATCATGTCGTCAACCATGGTCTTACAATGAGGGAGGCTGGGCAAAGAGTACAGCCAAATTTGAGCAGGTACACTGTAGCATCCATCATCCGGACCTTCCGAAATGAGAATAGGTAAGAAATCTCTCACTAGAAAATGGACAGTAAAAATACTGTAAAGTACGTTTCCAGTATTTAGGAAATGTAAACCTACTTTGTATTCACAGTATTTTAGTATTTGTTTGGCAGAACTGAAAGATTACAGTAGAGAAGAAATTCCTACATTCAATTAGAAACCATAAAATGTGAGATATCCCATAGTATGAAATATCACCTTAATGGATCTTTAAGTAAATTTAATTAGAAGATCAGATGTTTTTATTGGATCTTAAAGATTTATTACTAAACAAATTAAAACTAGACTAACTTTAACACTAGGTGTATGGTGTAACTAAGGTGAGGTAAGACTGAGAATGGTGTATGTGTGAATATTTCAGAACCAGCAGATCCGGAGAAACGATTAGTTCTGATGGGAGTGAAGATGATGTTGGCTTGGAGATTTTTAAAACACATTGAGACGCCATTCTGTCGGTCTACGTATCCTTGGTGGAAGTCCCCGTCTAGATCAGGAGGTGTAGAGGTCCAGCTTGGACTTTTCTGGAGCCGAAGCCTGTAGAACAGCCGCGGCTGCCGATCAGACCAGTCTTTGAGATCTTCCGGGTCACGACAGTTTTATTGGCATCTAGCAAGACCCAAAACGGGGTCGTGATGGTTCAGCTTTTATTCTGAAACGAACTGTTGCAGCAGGTGGAACAGTAACAGATTTATCCAGCTTGTCGTTGGTTCTTTCGGCTGAAGAGGAAAGTTACGGATTGGCCACTCCGACAACTTCTCTAGAACGCTTTGAACTGAAGTTAAAGATGACGTGGGCATAGTTTTATACTTCAGATGTTTTGATTCACGGTCGAATCAAAAAGGGACAGATATACCAAGCACCACCAAAACCACACCTCGCATCAGATCTGGAAGGTTCTGAATGGATCAGTAAAAGCAATTTGTCATGTGACTTTTTAAGCATTACGGGTGATCAGTCTCTAGTGGAAACATTTAAAGTTATATTACTTATTATATTCTATAGGATTATAATATCAAGTAATTAATATTTTCATTTCACAAACTGGTTCACATTTTATTATTGACTAACACTTAGTTTGATTAGCTTTATTAAAAATAGAGTTCTTTGACTTATTAAAAAGAAAGAGTCCTTTGTCTTCATTCTTCTCTTGAGCTGGAAAGGAGAAACAGTTTAGAAGCAGAGCATGAGACCTTGAGCAATATCTCATGCAGATTAGTTCTTGCTGAGGAGAGGGGGGGAATGACTTTTAGGTGGAAAACAGTCATTTCATTCTGTTACATTACCAAAACGAGGTTGTCGGGAACGTCTTATGTCTCCTGAACAGGAAACTGAAATCATGAACATGGTCCTAGAAAACAATGCCATAACATTACGGCAAATACAGAGAAAAATAATAGAAAACAATGACATGTTTCAAAATATTGATAGGGTCAGCCTGTCAACACTGGACTGTGTCTTGCGCAGATACCATCTCAGTATGAAGCAGGTCTACAGGGTACCATTTGAACGCAATTCAGAAAGAGTCAAAGAATGCATTTACTGTCTGTAGTAGGTGTAACACTGAACCAAAAAGGCTTCAGTCATTATGATGAATGGAGAAGACGTGTTTTCCATAGTGTTTTACCTTGAGCACATAAGTGTTCGGCTGGTTCTTATAAATGTCTTTTCGTATGATGGTCTGTGTGTGTCATTTGACAACATAATCACATTGTGAGGAGAAATAACATTGTTTTGAATGTGAAGTTTCATTTTGCAGGTTAATTGAGGGGTTTTGCCCATTGTGTGCGTTTTTTGGATTTGTGTGTAGAGTTCTGAGAATATGAGGCATGCTTTCAGAAAATGTGTGTAAACAATTGAGAAAAACTGTAACTGATGGTCAGTTGTAAACAGGTCCTGAAAATATGATCACATGAAAATGAAGAAATCATTCAGTTTTCTGAGATAGAAAAAGAAACTTCACATTGAATTGTTTGCATACACATTTTAATCATAAAACTGATCAAACTGTTTACTCAACAATAGCATTTATATACTGTTAAATTCTACGGTGTAATTATTTAATAAATAAAGTGATTTGAGTCAAATAAAACCAACCAGTCTTCTTAGCTGTCGCTCAATCCAAAATCGAGAAATTTAAAATTGCTTCGTATTGCACAAAAAACACAACCTTAATTACACGTTTCATCTAATATCACACTGGTTCAGAGTTTACAAAACACAGAGGAAAAGAGGAATCCATACATTAATATTTATAAAACCTTCACGAAAAAGAAGTTTTTCTGTGCAAAACATCAGTGCAAACGAGCATCAGCTTACAGATAAACAACGAGTATGGCCAAGCTGCATTTATTACATGCTGTGTTCTTGTGATATAAAGAGAGGGAGGAGCAGTGGATTGGTTAAGAACGCTTCTAAGAGTGAGACGAATGCAATAACTAAAATTCTGTTTGCTGCACTCCAGGAATTAGACCGTCTCAGCTCCCCTGACACTTGGATAGAACTTCAGGTTTGTTTATGGTGACTGTCTCATGAGCTCATCTGTGCCAAGAAGCTCAAGTTGAGGACAAACTCATTTGAAAACAAGACATTTAATCAGTCTAGTTCTCTGTGTGTCCCTGATGCCCTTATTTTGGCGAGCCGCATGGCAGTGTTCAGCTGTGTTTTTAGCTTAGAGTGTAGAAATAAAAACTCATTGGGTAATGGTGTTAAACAGTTATGATCATAATAATGATGAAATACCTGTTATTTTCATAATTGAGCAGCCCAAAGTCATTTTATGACAAATTAATACTCAAAATATATTTTTAAAAATAATTATGGATTTCTCTTAGAATCCCCACCCTCTAACTCCCGTCTTCCATCCTCACGTTCTCCCCAGGAAAGTTGCAAATGCTTCATGTCCATGTCTTCTTCTCATGGAGAATCAAAAGGTGGAATTCCAGCCTGCAAACGTCCAATGGGCCGGGATCTGACCGCTAACAGGTCTTCGGGGCCCTGTGGACCCCCGTTATAAAAAGGTGCAAATTTTCTTCTTCTCTTCAGTTGGGTGTGGGCTCAAAGCCGCCATGATCGCTTGGTAAAACACCGTTTTAAGGCCTTTCTGCCTCAGCGCTGAGCACTCCAGGTATTTCACTGCACCTGTTAAGCAAACTTTAGAAGTAAAACTTCATGCTGATATAAATATGATGTCTCTTAGCTTACTGCATTTAGAAAAGTTAAAAGAACATAAACAAGACTATCCACCTTAGTAAAAATACAACGCCTTATAGATATTGGCCAGACTCTGCATGAAAATTGTAGAAATTCAGTTTAATTTACCATCTATAAAAAATAAATTGGTTTCAGTTTTTCATTTTGTTATGCAGTTTTGTCATAAATCATTATAGAAAATCAAAATCCTCTCAGTGCTGCGCAGATGTCACAGCATGACGTCTTACAAGGCAGCAGCTGCTACTAATGCTACTAGATTAGCTGAATACGTTCAACTTTGTGCTCTCAAAGAAAACAGAAAACAGCTGCAGAAAAAAGTTTGAGCCATATGTCGGAGTCTTTCATGCATTTCTAACTAACATAGTAACATTAAAGTGACCATGTGTAGTTTTTACCATTACTCTCTGGAAATATCCATCAAATTGTTGTTATAAATTAATTCAAAAATGCCCAGTTGTTGAAAAATTTTGGCAGTTTCACAATATATAACCATAAAAAGCTGGTCTAAAATACATGGGAGCAGGTCTAAGTCTCTGGGCGACGCCATCTTTTTGTTTTTGTTTTTTTTAGAGGAAAGGCTTTTAGCGCTTCTTCTTGTGGTTTTAAAGACATTCAAGTCATTTAGAACAAAGGAAAGAGCCGCAGTGAACTTTGCCGCTGTCTTCGTTGTTTGAGAAACTGAGCATTGCTGTGTGTGATGACCGCGATGCCGTAGTTTTTTAGCTGTATTCAAAAATGGAGTCTGAAGTCTTTCTTCTTTAGAAGAAAGGCTTTTGGCGCTTCTAATTGTTGTTTTAAAGACGTGTCCAAGTCATTTAGATCAAAGGAAAGAGCTGCAGCGAACTCCGCTTCAGTCGCCATGTTTATGAGAAACTCAGCGTTATAGTGTGTGATATACGCTACTCAGCTCTGATTGGTTCGGTTAGAATTCTCATGGGATGGAGTTATTTGAATAGAGTTCCCAGACCCTTTCTCTGTGCAGAATTAAACAGGGGAGGAGTCTGGCAGATCAGGCTAGCAGTCAGTTATATCAGCATATACACGCAGCGTAAAACTGGCAGCACATTGTTTATTTTTTCTGTAGATTATTGAACTATACTGGCACAGCCTGATGGGGCTAGCAGAGTTAGCTGCTATGTTAACTATCTACCATCAAAGTAAATAAATGGTACCAACTTTGGTTCTGAAGATGCTCACTATCATTCCACGTCGGCTTTGCCATCAGCATTCATATTCATCTGCATGTTGTCTGAGTCTTGAACATGTTCAGCTATGTTTTAGCCTTGTAGTCTAACCAACTTGCAGCTCATCCGAGTCAGACAAGCTGAATCTCCCAGCTGTATCCCTCCGACTCGCCGATATCCATTCTCATTGTCGTTGTCGTCTTCCTCCGCTTATCCGGGTCCGGGTCGCGGGGGCAGTCTGCTTTGTGAAACAGAACTCCAGGGGTGTGGACTCGAGTCACATGACTTGGACTCGAGTCATTATTTTAATGACTTCTGACTTCGTCGTCGTCTTCCTCCGCTTATCCGGGTCCGGGTCCAAGTCACGGGGGCAGCATCCCAACTAGGGAGCTCCAGACCGTTCTCTCCCCAGCCACCTACACCAGCTCCTCCGGCAGGACCCCAAGGCGGACCAGATTGGAGATGTAACCTCTCCAACATGTCCTGGGTCGACCCGGGGGCCTCCTGCCGACAGGACATGCCCAAAACACCTCCCCAGGGAGGCGTCTAGGAGGCTTCCTGACCAGATGCCCAAACCACCTCAACTGACTCCTTTCGATCCGGAGGAGCAGTGGCTCTACTCCGAGTCCCTCCCGAATGTCCGAGCTCCTCACCCTATCTCTAAGGCTGAGCCCGGCCACCCTACGGAGGAAACTCATTTCGGCCGCTTGTATCTGCGATCTCGTTCTTTCGGTCATTACCCAAAGCTCATGACCATAGGTGAGGATTGGGACGTAGATCGACCGGTAAATCGAGAGCCTGGCTTTCTGGCTCAGCTCCCTCTTCACCACGACAGATCGGCTCAGCGTCCGCATCACTGCAGACGCTGAACCAATCCGCCTGTCGATCTCCCGATCCCTCCTACCCTCACTCGTGAACAAGACCCTGAGATACTTAAACTCCTCCACTTGAGGTAGGACCTCTCCCCCGACCCGGAGTTGGCAAGCCACCCTTTCCCGGTCGAGAACCATGGTCTCAGATTTGGAGGTGCTGATCCTCATCCCAGCCGCTTCACACTCGGCCATGAACCTACCCAGCAAGAGCTGAAGGTCAGAGCTGGATGAAGCTAGGAGGACCACACCATCTGCAAAAAGCAGAGATGAGATTCTCCTGCCACCAAACTCGACACACTTCACACCACGGCTGCGCCTAGAAATTCTGTCCATAAAGGTTATGAACAGAACAGACGAATCTCATCCTCCCCCGGGGCTCCGCCGCTGTGTAGTTTGTTTGACTACCTCACCAACTTCTGCCCCAGAGATTGGACAGTCCATCCCCAGGTCTCCCGGCTCTGGCTCCTCAATAACCAGTTTTCTTGTCTGGGGATCGGACCGCCGGTCTGCCACCCGATCCACACTGCACCGGACCCTTCATGTTCCTCCTGCGGGTGATGACTCCACAGTTGGATGAGCCCATGTATTTGGTTTGGGCTGGGCCACCAGGTGCCCCATGGGTGAAAGCCCGGCCACCAGGTGCTCGCTCGATATCTGTTCTCCTCGTAGTAATCCATAGGAAAAATTTGACTGACTAGCAGAGGATTTATCTGCTACATCTTACTGATGAAACGTTGTCCTCTGCTATAATGCTAATGCAGATAAACCTGAGTTGGGGATTGTTTAGGCTAGCTGTTTGAGCAGAGCTCCCTGTGAGACGTCACCAGCTGCCCAGGGCTTACTAGTATGTGTTTTTGCCACGCTACTCAAAAACTTCGGATTTTCTTAAAAATCCAACTGTGGAAATCCGAAAACCTTAATTACATTTGAGGTTTTAATACTTTTTTACACGTCATTCAAAATAAATTTGCCTCTGGCCAATAACTTTAAAAGTATGCAGTATTAAAATAATTTAATGAGTTAGTGAAGCAGACCTATTTCTTTAGCCATGGCTTCGCCCTGAGCAGATGTGATGGGAGAGAGTTTCTTCTCTTTGACCATTTCCTGGTCCTCTCTCAGGTCCAGCTTGGTGCCCACCAGGACTATAGGTGTATTAGGACAGTAGTGTTTTACCTCATCATACCACTGCAGGAGGAGAACAATGACTCAGGGAAGCCACAATGGTACAAGAAACATGAAGGGTGTACAGTACTACATAGATGTTTTCATTTTACATTTTATACATAAGTTTATGTTCTTAAACATGGCAAATGTCAGGTTTCTGTGTTGAAACTAAACACTGATTTGTGTTTCAGTACTAGTAATCATTGTCTCACCTTGCAACGGACATTTTCAAATGATGCTGGACTCACTAGTGAAAAGCAAACCAAAAAAACATCCTAGGAACAAAAAAAAGGACAAAACACAAAATTAAAAATGTATCAACTCAGAGAAAAATCTCCACCAATACATTTTCTCCTGCTTATCTACGGTTGGGTCATGGAGGGAAGTCTATATTTTCCTTTCACCAGCAACTGTTCCCAGGCCAGAGAACATTCATAATCCCTAAATTGTTGTCCTGGGTCTCCTCCCAGTAGAACAAACTTGGAAAATCTCCACAAGGAGGTATCCTACACGTTTATCAGACAGCTCAGGTGACCTCTTTTGGTGCTCGGGAGCAGTAGTTCCATTCGGATATCAGAGCTCCTGACCTTGTAGCTGCTCTAAGGAGGAATCTGATTTCAGCAGCTTGTAACTTGGATCTCCTTTTTTCGGTCTCTTGACCATAGGTGAGGTCATAACAAGATATAATTAAGAGCAATGTCTTCTGTCTCAGCTCAGACCACAGTAACACCCTCATTTGTACAGATGAAGCCCTGATCCACTGGTTCATTTCTCATCTGTAACATCCAGAAAGGGTCAATTTTCACCTACATATTGACCTACATAGTGACCGGTCATCTACAGATATAATTCCATTTTCTAAGCGGATTTTACATTCTATCTTGCACAACCCAGGAGACACTGCTGTGCTTGTTGACATTCCATGAAGACAAGATTGTCAGTCCATGTCTCCAAACAAAGCTTTCCTCTGATAAGATTGCAGGATGCCACACTCTGAATGAAAAGTGAACTTGTACAACTCGATCCATATCGATAAATAATCATAAATAATCATATAGTTGAATGAACCAGATGTTATATAAACAACAATAATAATGTTTGAATAATCTGTGCCTAATTCAGTGAAGTTGAAATGAATATTATTAATATAATGATACATTTATATCTTATGATCAGTGATTTTTGATTTAACAAGTGAATCATTGTCTACACTCATACACAATGTTCATTAGATGCAAATTCAGGTTAAGGCCATCTCACATAAAGTTTAAAGATTCTTTATCTACAGAATTAGAACAGCTTGCGTCTGGAAGGTGTGGTTTCTGAGGGATGTTTGGTACGCCTACAAACATGTCAAACTCTGATTCGCAGAAATGATAAACTCTAGATTATTAAAACTAGAGCGATTGCAGAGTCACTCAGTTTCCAGCTGACACTCCGAAGTGGCCAATTTGGAACCAGCCCTTTTGAAACATCTCTTTGTCATCCAGTCAAAACCTGTTTGCACGCTGCAAGCTGACACAGCCGCATGACTCCGTAAGAGTCCATCCGTCTTAGACGCAACAACCTTCATGCCTGTTGTGACCTGGAGACAACTCTGGACTGACCTGGCCGCATTGCGGTTAGTCTAAAAACTTCGATGCCTTGGAGTCACCCGACCCCCCGACATCTCGGATCCAAAAGAGGGTCTCCATCAGGGTTCATAGACACAACAAGATTGCGTCTGATGCCGTTCTATAAACAATCAACTCTCTATTTTATAGCAGACCAAAATTTCTTTTACACCCAGAACTCAGTTTCTTCCAGATACAAAGGTTCTGCTATACATCACATTCCATCATCACACATCATACACTCATCACATATCATTGTTTATAGCTTGTCATGTATTATAATTAGTCTAGAAAATAAAGTTTATTTTTAATTATATACTTGACTCTGTCTGAATTAATACAAAGTGTGTTTATGGTCCCTGAATAAGCAAAGAATCCTAAATTCTTCTGGTTAAACATTCAAAGATCAATCAGCTTGATATTCTATATTTATACAGAATCATCACATCTTATTGGTCATAATTAAACCCTCCAATTCTCTATACATCCATCCCTCCATCTGTACACGAAGAAGACACAAAGACTCTCCCCATGACACGCTCCAGGAGCCTACTAGAAGAAACTATTACTCCAGCATATCTACCAAGGCACAAAGAACTTCATCCCCAGACATAAAGACAGTTCCACCTCAACCTGAGGCAGAGGTTCACTACCAACCCAGAAGGAGCATTCCACCCTCTCCAGTGGAGAACCATTATCTTAGACCAGAGGTCGACTGATACTGGTTTTTCTATTGTCAATATGCCAATATGTAGGGGACGTGGTCAACCGAAGGCCGACATCCATGGCCCGATATCTAGATCTTTTTCCACCTTGTTTTCATGCTAAAATGTCACCAATATTATCAGTTGATGCACAAAATTTCTGAAGCTGAATCGGTTTTGAACTCTGGATTGAACTAACTGTTAAATCTTAACTTTGTGCACTGCTAGTATTATAGTCAGACACCTAAATAATATTGTTATTAAATTTAAAAATACATTTAAATCAAATTCTGCAGCAGCACCAGGCTGCCAGAGGATGTGCCTGACTTTAAATTGACTTTACTCAGGATAAATATGAACCAATGCCAACGTATAAAAAAAACGGTATATATCATCTCGATGAACTGGCCAACCAACATATTGGTCTACCCCTACCTCAGACTGAAGCTTGGTTCACATGGCAGGATTTTTTAATTGTCTGACAATTTTCAAAGCATGAGAGACCACACGTGTGGTGGTAGAAATCATAGTTATTATACCAGTTTTAGTCGTACAGAGTGTTGTGTTGGGGAACTCGGCCAAAACGACACAGGAACTGATTTCACACACAGGCTTTCCCTGGTCAGATGGGAAATCTCGCAAGATCAAACATGACTTGGAAGTAAACAAACATGGTAGGAGCATGCAACGTGCTTCTATCAATCCGCTTTCTGATTGGCTAGAATCAACAGGCAGCACGCTTATTTGTGAAAGTCAGACCAAGACAATCCAACATGTTTGAAAAACCCAGATTTATGTTCAGAGCGGTCCCGACGACCTTCTGTGTGGATCAGAGTGCTGGTTACACACCGCACAAGCAAGGACTATCTGAAAAGATTAAGTGTAGCTCAAAAAGGTTGTTTACACCTTTACCACGATCAAATTGTCTTGGGGCGTATTTCCTGTTTCTTTTGGGCGCAGCAATCTCTACCATAGGCCTACGCTAACTGGTGCATGTGCGCTGGATCCCCTCTCCAATACAAAGAATAGGAGAGCCTTAGGGCACAGGGGTATAGCGATCATGAAGACACGCACAGAAGACCTGCAGGGCAGAGTCTCAGGTCAGGACAGAACCGGATATTCTCCACAGTTCACATCCTTTGTTGTAGTAGAGCAGCTGAGAACACCTCGTGGAGTTTTTTTTATTATGAAGAATCGGAAAATGGCGAAATGTGGCATCAGAGACTTATAAACATCCTCCAGCAGGTAAAAAAAGCACAAGACAGTCAGAAATCAGCTCAGTGTGATGCTGGGACTTTGGATTACACAAACCAAGTTTTATCTTTTTTACTAGAACACAGATTATTATGCCCAAAAATCAGCTTTTGACTTCATGAAAGTAGCTTTGTTTGTTTTGCTGCTGAGTTTCTTGAGTTTTGCAGGTAGAGTACCTGTCACAGAACCTGTGACACGGTCAAAATGGCGGTGGTGGCCACCTCCCATTTTGGCACAAAAGCGTGTTATTGGAGCCTTTGGAAATGAATTGTCCAGTATATATGTTGATGGCACACACCAATGACCCCACCCCCACCCTTGCACCCACCCCTCAGCCAGAAGGGTGCCCTGGTTTCCTTAGTCAGGGTGAGGTAACCTGTTTTTCCTGATCCTCCTACAATAATGTTTTGGAATTGTTGGAATCTCTGGTGGGAATGTACTCTCAGTGACTGACGGGATGACGCTCCAGACAAAAGAAGAAAAAAACAACAACAAAAGTGATCTTAGCATGTATGTATGCATGAATGACTGAAAGCTTCACTGGGCTCAGTCTTTTAATTAAAAAATAGACTTTTGCTTTCACTTTCACATGAGCCTCTGGCTCAGAGAACAGATGAAGACAATCAGGAAAAACTTTAAGCCTGTTCTAGTGAGACACTGAGTTTAGTAGAGAGGGGAGGGGAGAATACCTCCCCAAGTCACACAGTGTACAGCACACATTTACTCTGTAAAAACACACCGTATGTGGGTAGGACAGGGGTCTTAGCCTGTCATAGTCCTCCTGTCCTGCTGTGTCCCATAGACTCAGGTTCAACGGTTTCCCTTTCATCATCACAGTAGCAGAGTAGTTATCAAAGCTGCAGGCAGGGTAGGAAAGTTAGCATTCAGCACACTATAGCCTCACATCATGATGTGCAACACAGGACTTACACTGTAGGGATGTATTCTACAGGGAAGGAATTGGTGGTGTAGGTGATGAGCAGGCATGTCTTACCCACAGCCCTGAGGGGAAACCCAAGAGAGAACCATTGTGTTTAGTATGCACATCTCCACTCTGAACAGTACCAAGATCTTCTCAGCTAATTATAATCTACACAAGTATTTAAAATGTTTTACAGCTCACCGAGTCAGTCTAACTAGTCTAGTTTGACAAGTGAAAAGGTTGACACCCTTAAATTTTGTGTAAAAAGAAGGGAAGGGAACACAAAAGTGATAGCATCTGAGTTTGCTGTGATGCTTCAATGAAATACAAACATTTCTTTATAAAGTATTATTTCAAAAGTTCTTGTTTCTGAAAAAGAACTGCAGATTATGAAGCATAGAGAAAATTACACCATCCTCTTATAGAAGAAAAATCTAGGATTTAGTTTTTTTATGACCTCAAAACATTTAATCAAATAGTTTTGAATGGTTTCTCTGGTCTCTGAAGTTCTCAAACATAAAACTGGAATATATTTCTAAAAACAGATCCTATAAAAACAACATAATGAACAATATTGTCCATCAGGTGTTGCTATCTAGGTCATCCCAAAATAAATCTGTTAGCTTTGGTTGTTTTAACAAAGGCTAAGCTAAAATAAAAATCAGAATGAACTTACCCGTCCCCCACCAGCACACACTTAACAGCCTGCATCAGACGGCTCGACCTCTCTTAGTGACTAGCTGCTAAAATGAACCAGTTCTCTTATGCTGTCAGTGAAGAACAACCTGGCGTGGCTGATGAAAACATCAGAGACTCCTGAAGGAATTTTCTGACATCGCCTTCCTTAACAGCAGCAACAATTCCCACAAGGGTGTTACCACTTGTAAGATCAGGGAACTCATCCATGCTGTGTGCTCTTTTGTTTTAAATCTCCAATGTTAAGCACAACAGGGAAGATTACTTTGTTATTCTAGTAAATTCAGTTTCAGATCAGATTTTTCTTTTACTTTCTAGACTAGCAAACAGGATTTAAGTCAACCGACTAACTATAGTTTGTAAACAAAACAATCCAACAACCTGCTGAATGTAAAGAAGGACATAACATAAAATACACATGCAATAACTCACAAGCAGGGGCGATCCCAAGGGGTGGCCAGGGGGGCCCTTCCTAAATTGCTGTCTCCCCCCTCAGGAAAAAACAGTGTTAATAAATTATATTACTGTTCACTCAAACCATGAATTAATCTTATTTGTTCAAGACAAAAATGTAAAACACAAGAAAAAATTATATAATCAATGAGAAAAGAAATACCCTGAATTTATTTAAAAATATATTATGTTTCTGCTTCTCACCATTTTCTAAAACATTTATGTCTCCATAATTTTTGTGAAGACGGCAACAGGTGAATCAAACTAAAAAATATAATTCTAAAATAAATTTCAAAACAACATTTCAAATAACCGAAATGTATTTTTCTGAAATATTTGGATTTCTCAAATTTGACTTAATTGTTTTGGATTTATATTGAGCATAAAGCAGCAAAGCAGTGCATCACCACAGGCTAAACTCTCCCAGTTACCACAAGGACCCCATTCTTTCTGGGGGTGCCCCTGCTCACATGTAAGGATAAAGAAGACATTACAGTTCTGACAAAGATTGTTTTTACGCTCAAGCAAATGAAGAATCCACAGGCGGCTGGTGGAAACAAAAATTCTTGGTGGGACGATGAGTAAAAAGGTTTATTTTCTTAGTCCATTATAAGTATAAAAATGAACAGTTGGAAAATGACTACAAATCCAAAAACAATTATTTCCTTTCTCCAAATAAGCAGTTTTACAGATGAAGTCAATTATCAAATTTACAGATAAATTAGACATGATATTACATTCAAATGAACACACAAGCTTATCGGGTCAGCAACTGAAGTCCATAGTGTTCATTTTTGTCCTTTTCACATTTTATTTTGACATCAGTTTGTTTTCCAGCTTGAGTTTTCAGTCTCTGTGTCTCAATAGCATACTTTACAGTTGACAGCACCGCACAAGTGCTGCTGGGTCCCACACAAACAAACCACATTTGCCAAATGAAAAAGCACGCACAGAGCACCTGGACATTGATTAAAAACTAATCAACTGAAACAAGATTCAATCTTTTGTAAACATATGTGTAAATGTTTTACTTTTATAGCCTGACAAGATATCGTATATGTGTTATTATATAGGATGGCCTTGACCCATAGACAGATGTCAGTCATAGGGCGGGATGTACAGTTGTCTTTCCAACTTCAGTCAGTGCCACATGCATTTGTATTGTCAACACTGGACTATTGTAACGCATCGTATGCTGGTTTGAATCAGGCAGCACTGAATCGGCTGCTATTGGTCCAAAACTCGGCAGCTAGATTTTTGACTGGGACGAGGGAAAGAGAACACATTACCCATGTGTTGGCATCTTTAACATCGGTTGGCTGTGTGCTACTGGACAAAATTAAAGTTATTGCATGTCTACAGGTCCTGACATGGTTTTGCTCCTCCATATCTGGCTGCATTGTTGAAACAGCATATTGAACTGTGGTCTCTTCGCTCTGCTGGTCGGGGTTGTCTATCCCTTGTGCCAGGTACAGGGGCAGAGGGGATCGGGCCTTTTCAGTAATGGCCTCTACTCTGTGGAATGACTTGCCACTTGTTGTGAAAGAGTCGCCATCACTGGAGGTTTTTACAAGTCGCCTGAAGACTTACTTTTATCAGTCATTTTGCTTTTATGTAATTTAATTCAGTTTCAACCTTTTTAATTGTCCTATTATATGTCTGTTAGTTTATTTCCATGGTATGTTGTGTTCAGCACCTTGGACTCCTGCAAAGGCAGTAGAAGGTGCTATATAAATAAAAATCAACTGATTGATTTATTGATTGATTGACTGAAACTGTCTCCTTGTGCTATTAGACAACAAACTCACCCCCTAGCCAGTCGAGCCCGGGACCCAGCGACCCGGGACCCAGGGGCGACCACCCCCACCTCATGCTCACACATACACATACAACCAAAGACTTACAAAAATGCACGCCAGGCACCCACTCATGCTCCCCATACACACCCTATTCACTCTGGTCCCGGTACTGCTGCACATGAGGCACAACCATTACCGGTTCTCAGAGTTCGACCCTTTTTGCTGGGGTGCTGATGAGCAGGCTCCCCTGCCCAACGCTGAGCACAGCAACCCACCACCCCAGACCCCAACCGGACGGCCGGATCTCCCTCCTAGCCTCCAACCCCAGGAAGCCAAGCGACAACAGAGGTGTGCTAAGACCCCTAGTCTCCCTCTGCCTGCTCCGATATGGTGTTAGTGTTGATGAGGTGTATTCCATGGCTGTGCGGGCATCGTCTGGTCTATGCCCTAGGGCTCACTGTGGATGAGTAACCATGGGAAGAAACACATGGAAGATTGTCCAGCTGGTTGAGGCTTTTGTCCAGCCACCATCTTGTTAAAATGGAGTAGTTCCTCTCCACTGTGGCCTGTCCCTCTGGACTTTCTCATGGAAAGTGAAGATTTATTGCAGTCTGATGGTGGTGATATGGAATGAATTTATTTAGTGTTTTTATAGTTCCCAGGAACAAACATACATATAACAGACACATATGAACACACTGTATATGCTGGTACTGAGAATATGTGGATGGATGTTGCTTTCAGATGAGTTCAACAACTGAAAAGTACTCTTTGTTACTGTTTTGTACTCTGTTACAAAATAACGCAGTTCTTCTTCTTCTGCTTAGTGGGTTTGTGGTTCAACACCGCCCTGATGGCTTCATCAAACACAGTTTTAACACCAGACTGTGTGCAAGCTGAGCATTCCAGGTATTTCACTGCACCTGGATTAATAAAAAAGAAATTGAATATTATCTAGTATTTGTTTCCACAACATCATCATAGGATAATCGATTATATTTTTTGTTGAGGCCAAAAGTTGAATTTTCACTCTCTCATCCTAATATTATCCAGGTCATGGCCTTCAGCACCAAAGCGTTACAAATGTTGAGTAGAAATCACAAACTAATCAGAATAAGCGTTTGCAAACTATCCTGTTATTTAGAACCTACAAGTTCCTCATTGTTTTAGCTAAGTGAGTACACCCAGCAATAGGGAACCAGTATGAACTGTCAGTGTTAACATGATTTATGACCCAGGTACTTTAGCGAAAGTTACAACTAGCAACTATTGATGAACATCCTCTGATTAAAACAAATACATTCAAATGTGTTTTAGGTGTAGTAGTAGCTGTTTTTTTTCACTTCTACTGACCTATTTCTTTAGCCATGGACTCGCCCTGTAAAGTTGAGATCGGAAAGAGTTTCCCCTTTTCCAACTTTTTCAGGGTGTCCGTGTCATCTCTCAGGTCCAGCTTGGTGGCCACGAGGACTATAGGTGTTCTGGGACAATGGTGATGCACTTCTGGATACCACTGAAGAATATGAGCAGATACTGTGACTACTAGCAACTTTAAAAAAGAGAACAGGGAGAGAGAGAGTACAATGGCAGTACACACAATTTTGTTATATGTCAAATAGGGGTGTAACAGCAATTCAATAATTCTTCTTCGGTACATAGCTATCTTGGTTTTGTTTTGAAGGTTTGGTCTCCTCCCACACCACCCTCGCCTTTCCCAGGATCCATGACTTCCCTCCTTCCTATTCATTTTCTCTATCCCTTTCCTTACATTTTTTCTAATCACAATTTTTATTTTTTTCTCATTTTAAACATATTTTAAATCATTTTTTGAAATCGTTTTTATATTTGATTTTTTTGTGTGTGTTTTTGAAGCGCCTTGTGATTTTATCTTGAGAGGTGCTATATTAAAGATTGTTTTCTTTCCTTGCGTTACAGTTAGAGAAAAGGGGGTAAAGAAAATGTGCACTTCTGCATAAAAATAAAACTACATGCAGTAATACTCCAACAAAATGCTAACATAAAAATGTATAAAATAGAATAATTAATGGTAAATAAAACAGCTTTACAGCACAACCAGCCATTCACACATTCACATGCTTGCAGTGATGAGCTACAATGTAGCCACAGCAGCCCTGGGACACACTGACAGGTGCCACCGGTCCCTCCATCCACCACCAGCAGACAAGGGGGGTTAAATGTCTTGCCCAAAGACACAACGACAGCTATCCTTTTGCTACGGACAGAAATAGCTTGCCTGGCAGGTGCCATTACCTTCTGTTTAGTGTCGTGGTTGCACGGTGGCAGGACAAGGACGGGATGTAAGATCTAACTTAGGGATGCACAATACATCTGCACCAATATCGGTATCGGCCAGTGTTTGTCATTTTTTAACATATTGTTATCGTCTGATAAATAAAACCGGGCCTATAGTAACAACTGATGTTTTTCCATTTTGTTTCCGTATTTCAGAGGGTGAGGGGGTGATGTGTATTTTTTTAGTCACGTGACAGTGATTGTAATAATCTCAGAAGCGTGAATGTGTGTGGTGTGTGTATATAACAATGTAAATTCAGCTTTAAAAATTTTCATTCTATACAAATCTGCTTTTAGAAGCATTAATGTCAGTATATCGATATAGGCAAATATTGGTTATCGGCCATAACAGTGATTTTAATATCAGATATTGGTATCGGCCCAAAAATTTCATATCGGCGCATCCCTAATCTAAATTTACAGCCATTCACTTCCTGTCTAACCATTCAGTGAATGAACTGGTGTCTGGTACCAATACCAAACTACACTGATTGGGTTGACTGAGTGTTACAGCTGGTGCCTTTTTGCCCTAAGGATGCGAGCTTAGGACATAAATTGCTGCCATCTCCTACCTTCACAAAGACACAGCAATCATGAGAGACCTCCCCTCTTCCTCCCTTGTGCCTACACACCTGGACCCAATCCCCTCATCAGCCCAGTGCAGCATAAAGGAGAGGAGTTGCCACTGGATAATGACTTTGGCTGAGACTCAGAGAGAGATTGAGACCAGATATGTGCCACATCTCACTGTTGGCTCCGTTAGTGTTTTAAGGGTTTTAGTTCAGACTGTTTTAAATGGGAGAAAGCCATAGTGCTTTTTAGGCTTTTAAAACAGACGAGGGACCAAGATTGCTGGCTCCTTCTCAACTCCAAACTTTTGTGAGTGTGATCAGTGCACCTTTGGGATATGTTTGGGAGCTTTTTAGATGTCTGTTTTAATTGAGAATGCTCATATTAAACATGTAACCACTTGCCTTTTTAACACTGTTATATATTCAACCTTTAGATTTGGAGCGTTGTGTTATTAAAACCCTTATTTATAATAAAAACTGCTTGAATTTTACCAACCTGCACACGCCTCTGCTCTGTTTCGACATGTCCTTCATTTTAAACACCGAACCTGGTTGTAACACTGAGTCTTTTGAAGAAGGCACCCCCTAAAATGAACACAGCTGTTTGTGTTGCTGGCTAATGGCTAATGTGTGTAACACAATTAAACGTCCATGTGGCAACTCGATACTGAGCCAAACCAAACGTTCTGCAGCGGAAAATGTATGTACTGTTACACCCCTAGTGTCAAAGTTATTGTTACTGGGTTAGCCTTCATTCATTATGATTCATATTCAATAGTCAGCCAAGGTTCAGCTGAACACTTGTCTGCCTGTTCCCACCTTTAGACGAATGTTTTCATAGGAAGATGGAAGGTCTACTGAAAAACAAATTAGGAACACATCCTGTGACAAAACAAAGGCAAAAACAAATTAAAACCTTTTCATATGTGACAAAAATATTCAGTCCCTCCACTGTTGTGACACAAGCAAACTTAAGCTGGCAAACTTAAAGGAGACATAACATGCTTTTAAGTTATTCCTTTTTACATCTAAATCCTTCAGTTGGGGGTCTAAAAACAGTGGAACTGCAGCTCTTTGGTCTGATTTCCTCATTATTGTTGCTCTACAGACCCTCATCTACCCCTGTTCTGAGGAGAGTCTTGAGAACGAGCCGTTTTTGGGTACTGTCTCTTTAAACTGGAGGAGGAGCTATAAACTCCGCCCCCCTCCATAGTGCAGACCTGTACTCTCCTCCCCCAGCCGGACTTTGTAGTTCTATAGAGAAATCATTGTTTAGCATAGCAGATTTAGCATAGCATATTAGCATTTTTAAAACATGTGGGGAGAGTAGTTCATCAAGCTGTTCCAAGGCTGCTAACTCTCTCATGCATTTGTCCGTAGTCACCATAGACTGTACATATACCGCACTAGGATGCAGGTTATCAGAATGCTTCACAGAGCAGGTAGATGACACTAGCACCTTGTTGGTAGGGGTGTTGTTCTTCAGGAACCCCAGGAAGTAGAGCCGCTGCTGGACATTTTTGAAGAGTGAAGTACTGTTGGGTTTTCCCTCTAAACTAGAATGTTACAGAATTAAATCTGATCACTCTTTTTTCATTGGCCTCAGTTAGGATAGTACTGAAAGTGAACCTGACTAACTGAATTTGTTGCATACATGTTGATAACAACTCCTGTGACAAGTTACACAATATAACACAATACAGGACACTATATAAATAAAATGTATTGATCATTGTTTAGTCCAAGCAGGTGTGAACACTATATGAATAAACGTTTTAGAGCAATTACTGAATACATTTAAAAAAGTCAAACAAATTTTATGCAATTAAAGATATTTTGGTAGATTATACTTGGTTAATTATTTCATAATAACATCAAAATATACTACAAAGTCAAATGTGTGGGCTCCACTGAACATCCCTACTTTATGATCATTTCAAACTAAAACACAGAAGGTGACCTGTTTTCAGTTAACATCCTTATTGATCAACTAATGAGAATAATAATTAAACTAAGTCACGATCTGTATTGATTAACACACTCAGGCATGTTGTGTTCATGTGGAAGTCAGAAAAGTATCTCAATAGAGACGGTAAGAAAATCACAATAGAAAACTGATTCATGTAAACAAAGTTGAAGCTGACTCACGTTGCTAATGTCTTTGAACATAAAAAGATCAACTCTGTCCGAAAAACTAATCAGACGTGAGCGCCCAGAAAACTTTAAGGTGAAAAAAAAAAAGTTCAAATTCATCCTCTTCGCAACAAGGTGATGAAGGTCTGTCTGAGGGCCAGAACTGTTCCTGGATCCAGGTTCTCTCATCTTTCTGGATCTCTTTTACAAAACGTTGCAATTCCTCCTCCTCCGAGGGGGTTTGGGGTTCAACGCTGCCCTGACAGCTTCATCAAACACAGGTTTCAAGCCGGTCTGTGTCAAAGCTGAGCACTCCAGGTATTTCACTGCACCTGGTGACCAAAATACACAAAACCAGTTACCTAACCTGCATTTGTTTCCATAACATTCTGTACAAATCAAAATGATTGGTTATGTTCATTACTATGTTGTGTTAATATTAAACACAAGTGATGACTGTAAGATGATGTTGTTGGTACTGAAGAACAAAACAATTTGACAATTACATTTTAAAAATATATTTGGTGCTTATGTTGAGCTACAGCTGACCTATTTCTTTAGCCATGGCCTCGCCCTGAGAAGACAGGAGAGGAGAGAGTTTCAATTCTTCCACTTTTTTCTCATCCTGTCTCAGGTCCAGCTTGGTGCCCACCAGTATTGTTGGAGTGTTGGGACAGTGGGTATGTACCTCTGGATACCACTGAGGGAGGAGTACAGAGACTGACACTACTGACAAACTCAGAGCAGAACTTCATTTTCTACATTATTAAAATATTGAATGTAATTTGTACCCTAGACACGTTATCATTGCATTTTAGCAAAATGTAGTATCTTAAGAGATAGTTTTAGACACAAGGCCCTAATTTATTTACACAAGTGGTGTTGTAGTCTTACTTTGTAATTAAAGCAGCTGTAGCAAATTTGGAAAACAAGTTAGCTTAAAACATTTTTCATGCCTCTTAAATAATGGATTCGGACTTGAATACTCACCTTGCTACGGACATTTTCCAACGAAGATGGTGTGACAAGTGAAAAACAAATTATGAACACATCCTGACAAAAAAATGACAAAAAAAATCTATTAAAAATGTTGCCAACATGACATAAAATAAACACAGGTGTGAATGAAGATTAGGTAAGCACTGCTTCTAAATTCTTCAGTTTATAGAAAAAGAGGAAGAAACAATCTATCACATAGCGCATCTCAAGATTAAAATCACAATCATTTAGTATTGCTGACTGACTGTTCCATTTTCTCTGTTCTAGCTCTGTGAAAAGTTTCATCATCAGAGCAGATGAAACAGTTGGTTTGTGATGTATTTAGCAGTACAGTCAGAGGAAAAAACAAAGGACTGAGTACACATCCTTGAGACACCCCTGTTTTCACTGTGACTTATCATCAACATAAAACTATCTGTCACCCTCCTGACAGGAAGTACTTTAGCAGTTATGAGTGTTTTGAGCTTTAGAGTCAAGAAATTCATTTTGATTTGATGCTGGTAAAACAATGACAGTGCTAATTCTATCTGACACTAATGAGCACAAGACACACAGAGGTGTGTACGTGTTTCTGCTGATGAGTGCATTCGTGTGATTATTTTTTTAAAACACACCGTCTGTGGGTAGGACAGCGGTCTGAGCCTGTCATAATCCATCTGTCCTGCTGTGTCCCACAGACCCAGGTTCACTGCTTTCCCATCCACCAGTGTATTGGCAGAGTAATTATCAAAACTGCAGAGAGGTAACACAAACACATTTCTGATGTGAGCCCAACAAGGTAACATTGTGTGTGTGTGTGTGTGTGTGTGTGTGCGTGCGTGCGTGCGTGCGTGTGTGAGTGAGAGAGAGAGAGAGAGAGAGAGAGAGAGAGAGAGAGAGAGAGAGAGAGAGAGATTACACTGTGGGGACGTATTCTCCAGGAAAGGCATTGCTGGTGTAGCTGATGAGCAGGCATGTTTTACCCACAGCCCTGAAAAGACAGACAGAGCAATACCAAGACAGTAGATTGGTGTGCAAACACATTTTCAGCAGATCATCTTCATCAGATATCTAAGAACTAACTCAGCTTGTTAAACAGGTAAATAAGTTGACTCTCAAAGGTTTAATGGATGGAATGTGTCACTAAGGTCAGCAGCACCATCCTAAAGCCACGTATATCAAGTTATAGCAATTAACTTATTAAACTTATGAAAGTTTCTAATTAAATTGTGATGGACTGCTTTTCCATTTAGAGTCCTAAAACATTTATGAACGTGATGATTTCTGTGTAAAAGAACCATCAAAACAATCTCAATCCAACAGTAAATGAGCACAAATCATTCCTTCTACACACGTGGTTGACAGTTCAACCTCTTCCAGTAAATGTGCTGAACTGGTCTCGCCAGGATTCCTCAAGCTTTTATTCCAACCTTTATTGAAACACTTGTTCCTTCGTATAATAACAACATACAATGTGCAAATATCAGCAAATTGTTTTTAACATATTCATTCTTAAGGTGTCCAATGACACATACAAAATGAGCGTGTTTATTATTCAGTATGTGTCAGCGGTGCTCTAAATTTAGACAAAAACTGCAAGAGGGTTGAAAAATAAAGCCTGGAGTAGAAATACATAATACACAATACATGATATCAAACTGATCTGTTAGCCGTGATCTTCCTGTTGCAAACTGCAAAACCAACTCTTTGCTTTGATTTGCTACAGCATGTGTCAGAGTGTTAAACAATAAAGTTGAAATTTAATTACAAATAGAGTTAACTTACCCATCTCCAACCACCACACACTTCACAGCCTGCATTGCACAGTTTGATCTTATGTAGACAACGAGTAACAGCTAAATTAAACTAGTTCTCTCTTGTTGCTGTAGGTGAAACGATAAACCTGAACTAACTGATGAAACCATTTAAGGATTGCTGAAGAGATCTTTTGATTTGCCCTTCCTTCCTAGCAGTAACACCTTTCACTGGGGTGGTACTGCTGGGAAAGAAAAGGAAATTTTCTTTGAGGGTATTTACCTTTTATCTGGGAAGTCAGCTGACAAATATTCATATCAGGCAAGTTATAATCTACAATTTAAAAGAATTAAAATAACAACCAGGGCTGCACAGTGGTGCAGTGGTTAGCGCTGTTGTCTTGCAGCAATAAGGTCCTGGGTTCACGTACCAGCCTGGGGTCTTTCTGCAAGGAGTTTGCATGTTCTCCCTGTGCACGTGTGGGCTCTCTCTGGGTACTCTTCCCACAGTCCAAAAACATGACTGTCAGGTTATTATGGTCTTTCTAAATTATCCTTAAGTGTGAGTGTGTGTGTGCTTGGTTGTTCATCCTGTGTTGCCCTGCGATGGACTGGCAACCGGTCCAGGGTGTACCCCGCCTGATTGCTCGTTGACTGCTGGAGATAGGCGCCAGCCCCTGCAACTCTGCATGAACAAGCGGGTTCAGATAATGGATAGATAAAATAAAAACCAAACAAACTATTTTCCTTGTTTTGGGAAACCTGGTTTGATGCTATACCTTTTAGATAGGTGGGTGTAAAATATTCCAAGAATTAAAGGTGTGTGAAACTAGTTTAATCAAAACATTTTCAGTGGTCTCTGGTAGGAATAAATGCCTTGCAAGCTGTACTTGGGGCAAAACAGCTCAGAATTTCTTGCATCAGCAAGGACAAGTCTGCTGTCACAGAGAGTGGCCACAGGCTGCAGGATTTGGAGTCTTATGGACATCTTGCCTCAGATTGGATAACAGCCATATGATTCTACCACCCAGTGAACATGCCAGTTTGGGCCCCCGTGTGGGATCTCAACGAATGGTTGCCCACTATGGGACACAGTCATTGTGAAATGTAGGGCACATGCGGGTCCCATCATTTGGGGCCATGTAGGGACCCAAAAGGGCTTGGCCCACATGTGTGGACTGCCCCACATTGGCCCATCACTGTTGGGCCCTCATGTGCCCCACATTGCACAGCGGTACCCTGTCGCACACATACAGGCTTCCCGCTATGGCCCCAACAAATGGGAAAACATGTTGTTTTTACAACACAATGCTGTCAATTTCCTGCAACGCTGAAGCGGCATCAGGGAGCCTTAGGTTGTTTATAAGTGGTCAGATCGTGGCGGTAATGTTGTGCAATCGTGTCCTTATTACAGAAGATTACACGATGGTGGTATAAAGAGGGTATGGGGCGGCCTCTGCACAGCCGGGGACCTCCGTTTATCTTGGACATAACTTGCTTTTATTGCGATCAAAGCCACACTCAATAAGCTTTTTTAACAAGCCGCTCCTACAGGTGTCTGTCCTCCAAACTCCCTGTGAGGTCTCTGGTGATCTGACCTCCAGCTCTAATGGAGAGAAGCTCCTGGAGCTCTGCATCCATTCAGTTTTACGTCTCAGCTGAGTCTGTTTACAAAACTGAATTTTATGGTTTGTGTTTACTTTCGTTTTCAATATAGTTGCTGGCCTGAGCTTGGCAGCAACTCTTCATGTGATCATTACACCTCCCTCTCTTGCGCCAGGGCAAAATCGCTGTTTTTAAGACAGACAGTTGCCTCAATATTACTACCAAGCAAGGCAGAACGAATGCTGCAAAGTTTGTACATTGCCATGCCGGCATGCCGTGTTTATAAGACACACCGTTTTCACGTTATGGAGGATGGTTCGGACCCAAAATGCAGATACCCAGGATGACACGAGGCAGGAGTAGATAAAGAAAAATCCTTTTATTTTAGGATGAACCCAAAACGAACATAAAAACCAAAAGGAGCAGGAAGCCGAAGTCCAACAATGCAGGGGATGATCAGGAGATCCAAAAACACTAAAGGAACGAGCAGGACTGACAGAATCAGTCACACTGACAGCAACAATGGACCCACAAGAACAATGAGACAAGGAGAGGCTTTATACACTGGGGCTGGAGTGATAGGAGATGAGGAGCAGGTGTGTGGGGAACTGGCACAGGTGAAAGCACTAACGAGGAGAGGAGCAGAGCAGGACACCAGACCTGACTGGGAAGGACACACACACACACACACACACACACACACACACACACACACACACACACACACACACACACACACACACACACACACACACACACACACACACACACACACACAGCTGGGGAAGGACACGTGCGCACACACACACACACACACACACACACACACAGCTGGGGAAGGACACGCGCACGCACACACACACACACACACACACACAGCTGGGGAAGGACACGTGCACACACACACACACACACACACACACACACACACAGCTGGGGAAGGACACGCGCACGCACACACACACACACACACACACACCGAGCTGGGGACAAAAAGGCTGGAGCTACAAGAGAAGACACATTAATGAGACGCAGACAAAGGACACATGAGGGCGCTTGTGAGACCCAAAATGGGAACCTAGAGGAAGGAGAACACATGAGGGAAGACACAGACGCAGACCATGACAGCTGTTGCAGTAATATTGCGCTGATTTGCCGGTACAGTGTGTCTTGTAAAAAGGGCAACATATATGCACCATTCATACAACCATGCACAAGATCCTTGTGAGTGAACTCTGGGGTAAGTGTGGGTTTGCCCTGCCCACACTACCCCAGTCATAGCTCACAAAAGCCCATGGTGGGCCCAAATAGGCATGGGCACTTACTTGCATCGTGAATGTTTGCTCTCCACACCTCAGCAGCAGTAGCTCAGGTGGTTGTCCAGTAATCAGAAGGTTGCAGGTGTAATGTCCAGCAATGGTCAGTTTTTAGGTACTGTTTGACCATTCAACATCTGGTCAAAAAGGAGACACGAGACTGTATGTTTTCCCTTTAAATCAGCCAGCCTTCATCCCACCAGCTGGAACTCAGAGCCTGCTGCTCTGAACACAGATAACGAAATGTCAACAATAATGTTCTCTCCTCAAGGTCCAATCTGTCAGGATTCTTCATGCCTCCATATAAGGAACACCCGCAGCCCGGTTTAGTTGCTAAATCAAAGAATGGTTTCCTAAATCAAATATGAATTTCTACAACTTATAAGCTAGATAATCATTAAATAAACGTTTGTTTATAGCTACTTATAATAATTATAATATAATGAAATGTTTCATTAATCTGTGCTCAATGATTGAAGTTTGAACCAAATTCTTTTACATCCAGAACTCAGCTGTCCTAGATATGGAAGTTCTGGCTAACATTGCATTCACACATAGGTTCATACATCACGTTTAGTTCCATCCATCACAGTAAATGTTTAGTTGTCATGTTTTAATTGTTGGTGAAATAAATTCTTACTTTTATAAACCTGACTCTTTTCTGAATCAAAATGAAGTGTGTACAATCCCTTAATAAATGAAGAAACCTAGAATCTTCTGATAAACACACAAAGACCAAGCAGGGTTGATATTCTATATTTAGATAGAGTATCACAGCTTATTGGTCATAAGTAGAGGTAGTATAGATATTGAGCTTTTAAAGCACTCAATTTACCAAACCCTACACAGGCTCGATCCCGGCTCCAACAAGAGAGTGCTACTGTTGTGTCCTAGGGCAAGACGCTCCTTGCCTACTGGTGATGGTTGGAGGGACTGGTGGCACCAGTGTATGACAGGCCCAGGGCAGCTGTAGCTACATCTTAGCTCATCATCACCAGCGTGTGAATATGCATGTGAATGGGTGGATGGCTGATTGTTTTCTGAAGCTCCCTAGGGGTTGTAGAACCCTAAGAAGGCACTATACAAATACAGATAATTTACCTTTTACATATGACACAAGCCTAGAGGTTTTCTAATGGTTAACTTTTACTAATTAGTACGTTGTCTGCTGATTCGTGGACGCTAAACCAACAACAGCCTTCCCTGTTGCGAGTCAAGTTTGTGAGTCCATGAATGTTAACTGATGTAGATCTGTCAGGATTTTCTAATCCTAGATTTTCATCGTCTATTTTCTATCAGAAGTTAATGCAGGAGATAAGTGTAGCAGATTATTTTCATATTCAGCCTGAATGATAAACTCAGTGACCGATTGTAATCAGAAATAATCATTAAAAAATGTTTTTTTCAGTGAACCACACCTTTAACAAAAACGTAACAATTTATCTGTCTGTCCCTCCGTATCTCTGTCCATCTACCCATCTGTTCATCCTTACATCCAATGTTTTTTTTATTGCTTTTGAAGGTAACAGGTCCAGGAAGAAACCCCAGAAATCCATCTCTGTGGTCACACTTTTCAGGAGCAGACAAGGGGCAGACCTCACATAATCCAACCAGGACTGGAAATAAGCTAAACTAGTGTTGATGTGTTTTTAAAGAAAAGTTATGAAATGAGAAAAACATAATGTTAACATCAATCAATCAAATTGCATTTGTATAGCCCCTTCCATATATAAACATGTCAAGAAAACTAAAAATATAGAAACAAGTTTTATTTTGATATTCTGAAAACAGTAGCAAGTCAAAGCAAAGTAACACTATGATGTTAGACTTAACATTCTAGAAGAGTTTTGTGAACAGAAAATACATGTGTGGAATATTTTTTCTAAATCTCACATTAGATCTGCTCTAAAGCCCAGTTACACCAGTACAGTTACCTTAGCAGGGCAGATATTAAGATATTCTCCTAAGATAATCTCATTTGGCACCATCTATTAAAAAATAAAATAAAATAAAAAAGCACAAAAGCCAAAAAAAGAAAAGTTATATCAAGTCAAATTTATTGGGACTTTTGCTTCATGTGGAAGTTCACCAGAGGGTCAAGAAATGGCATCTTACTTAAGCAGAAAACAATAAAATGAGAAAATATCAACAAAACAGTTAATGACAGAAATGGTTAAGAAAGAGATAACATTTATTAACATAGTTTAGCTGTGTCTCTGCCTCAACATACTTGACTTGAATCAATGAGTGATTAACAGGTTTCTGCTGAACAAGGAGTCACTGAACCATTGGATCAATAGTGTTCAAGCAGGGAGATGACTAAAACATTTATGGAACCGACCCGTTAAGACATAACTGGTCTTAATAAAACAACATATGTAAATAACCAGAAATTCTGGTGGAATAAAAAATAAAACTGATCAAAATGAACAAGTGGTCTTGGTGTGGAGTCCCTTGGATGCGTTACAAAGACACCAAGTTGGCCATCAAACCTTGTGGGTGAAATTAGTCTACAATTAAATAAAGGACTCTAAACGTGACCTCTGCTGTGGTTTTATTGTAAATCAGCAAAAGGTTTCAACAGGTTTACCTCAATGCTTGTCTGGTCAGTCTTCATGTTTATTCATAAAGTCTTATTTATTTTCATGAAGTTGAACTGACGACACCAGCCAGAAAACCAAGTACCTTTCTTTTCTTCACACGTGGGTTCAGAGTTGTGAGTGGATCCAGGTTTTCTGATGACAGTGGACCACCTTTATAAAACGGTGCAGTTCTTCCTTTTCTTCTTCCTTGTGTCAGTAATGGATTCGAGGTTTAAGGCTGCCATGATGGCTTCCTCAAATATCGCCTTGAGGCCGTTCTGAGTCAACGCTGAGCATTCCATATATTTCACTGCACCTGGTTTGCAAAACAAAGTTGTAAACTTCTTGTTTTCTGGACTGTTATCCTTGTTCACACCGAATGTGCAAGTGGTGTGGGCCGGTTTCCATACGACTTTTGCATGATCAAAAACCATTGCCTCCAATCAGAGCATTCACAACGGCAGAGGTGTGTTCCGGATCCAGATGTGGAGCTCTGGAAAGTGTCTGCATGGGATCTATTTTTCCTGGTTGCCGTATTCAGATCGTCATGAAGTAAAAGAAATTTCATGAGCCAGACAGGAAGAGGGACGTGTTTCAGTAAGGCGCGTCCAGTTAATTTCAAATTAAAATTTGTGTAGCATTTTTTTCCAGCTTTCTTTTGACAGGAAAATCAATTCAGTGTATTTGAGAAGACGGTTGTGGCTTTGGTTTATTAGCTCCTCTCTATTTATGCAGTTGTTATCACGTGAACTTGCAAGAAAAATTATGGAGGTGTTCTTCACACTGACAAGTGTGAATGGCAGTCTATCTCGAGGCCGTATGGAAACCGTACTGCATATGTGCCGTAGTCAGTGTAAGCAATACATTATGATCTCAGTCTGTTCTGTTAACAATACACACAGATGCTTACATTTTGGCTGAATGTATGTTAGTAAAGATCGCTGGCATGGTCACAAAATGATCAAATAACAGAGGAAGTGTGTGATCGACCAGCATTACCGATCACAACAGACATATTTATCACTCCTGTGTGTTTTTACTGTATAAAAGAACTATGAATTCACTCAGTAACACCGAAAAATAAAATCAATGTACAAAACTATAATTGTACATTTGCAGCTAGAACTGACCTATTTCTTTAGCCAAGTCCTCGCCCTGAGAAGATGTGATGGGGGAGAGTTTCTTTTCCTTGAGCTTTTCCACTGTTGTTTCATCTTCTCTGAGGTCCAGCTTGGTGCCCACCAGAACTATAGGGACTGAGGGACAGTGATGTTGTACCTCTGGATTCCACTGAAGGAGGAGAACAGATATTGAGTACTACAGCACATTATAGTACACTAAGCAGAAATAAGCAATGTCTTGAGTTCAATTGTGCTTGTGATCATTTAGAGAATGAAATGTTTTGATTTTTTTTAAAGTTTGCTGCTATTTTGTTCGTTGGAAAACTGAAAAGTAAGGACAAGCATGTCGCAAGTTTCAAAGTCTTAAAGGAGCAATATGTAACAATTCTACGATGAAATAATCCCTAAACAGTTTAATTTCCAGAGGTGTAATGTAATCAATTACATTTACATGCGTTACTGTAATTGAGTAGCTTTTTTGTATATTTATACTTTTTGAGTCATTTTTAAAATCTGTACTTTGACTTTTACTTGAGTAAAAATTTTGGCAAATACTCTTACTTGTACTTGAGTAAAAAATTATCAATGTATTGGTTCTTGTACTTAAGTAGAAAAATTAAGTACTCTTTCCACCTCTGCTAAAGTCTCAGTCATGATGAAAGACAACAGATATCCTTCTCAAATTTTTGCTGGGTTGTTTCTTCAATTCACAGTCTCTCGTCTCTTGCTCATTGACTGGTGGAATCAGTTTATCAATACATAACATCACTAAATCATAAACAAACACTGTTAACTTGTACATCTGTGAAAAGGAAGCAGGAAGAAGAAAAACCTTGTAAAAGTCTTATTAGGGCTCAATGAATGAATAGAACTAATACAGAATAAATGTTAAAAAAAAGTCTAAGCTGCAAACAATATAAGTGTCTCGTTCTTATTATAAGACGTTCTATTTTTAAAAGTGTTACATAATTAAACATTTTTTATCTTGTTTTTTCAAACTGATTCACAGATTAACTCTGCAGAATTTTCAAAAGGATGGCGGATCAGAAGCTGGCAGCTACTTCGGGACAAAATTCAAGTTTAAAAGTAAGTCAACAAATTCAAAATGTTTTTTTAGATTCAAAGAAGTTATCTATGGTTGGGTAGTTGCTTATTAGTTGCAGCTTTGGCGGCTAGCAGGTAAGGACTCACTTGTACTCCGTATATCTATCCATTAACCCTGATGAACCAAATTGGTTAGTTAGATTACAGGCTTGTCTTGGAGACATAAAAAATTGGATGACTCAAAACTTTCTGCTTTTAAATCAAGACAAGACTAAAGTTCTCATCATTGGACCTGAAATTCAGAAAAGGAAATTGCTTAGTCAATCACCTGACCTGAATGGCATTAAATTAGTCTCCGAGAACAAAGTAAGGAACCTTGGTGTTATCTTTGACCAGGACATGTCATTCAAATCCCACGTTAAACAGGTTTGTAGGATTTCCTTTTTCCACCTTTGTAACATTGCTAAGATTAAAAACATCCTTTCCAGGAGTGGTGCTAAAAAACTAGTGCATGCATTTATTACATCAAGAGTGGATTACTGTAATTCATTACTCTCAGGAAGTCCACAGAACGTAGTTAAAAGTCTTCAGCTTGTCCAAAATGCTGCAGCTAGAGTTCTGATGAGAATTAAAAAAGGGAGATCATATCTCTCCTGTCTTAGCTTCCCTACATTGGGTGCCTGTTAAATTCAGAATAGATTTTAAGATCCTCCTTCTCACATATAAAGCTCTTAACAATCAAGCTCCATCATACATCAGTGACCTGATTGTTCATACGTTCCTAACCGAGCACTTCGCTCTCAGACTGCAGGTTTACTGGTGGTTCCCAGAATATCTAAAAATAGGATGGGAGGCAGATCTTTTAGTTATCAGGCTCCTCTCCTGTGAAACCAGTTCCCAGCTTTAGTCCATGAGGCAGACACCTTGTCTCCTTTTAAGACTAGGCTTAAAACATTTTCATTTGATAGGGCCTATGGTTAAAATCTGATGTTAGCCCAGATCTGGACAAGTGGGGGAGTAGAGGAAGGTGGAGTGTACAGTCGGTAAAGATGACTCTCCCTTGCTCTGCCTCCAACATGCCTCCATCTAAAAGGCTAGGTTATCCAGAGTTATCTCTGTAGTTATGCTGCTATAGGCTTAGACTGCTGGAGGACATACTGACCACTTTTCACACTCGACTACTTTCTTCTACAATCTGCTCTTTAACTGTATTATTTTCTGCAATTTCAGCTGTTAACTATTTTTCTCTGTTTTTCTCCCCAGCTACAATGATGTTCTGCTGAGCTGTGGTAGCCTCATGGAGGGGGCCATCGTCTTGAACACTGTTGCTAACCACTTAAACATTCTCCCTCTCCTGACAACATTTAACTTTCTTTAACATAGAATGTGCTACTACTAGTTTACCCTTTAATTATAGATTCACTAGGATAAATACAATAAAGTTTATCTCTCAGCAAATCGAATATTTACTAAGAAACCACAATGTAACCATAAAAACATTACTTGGTGTGTGTGTGTGTGTGCGTGTGTGTGCTCTGTCTTCTCGATCCCCAGTGAGTCATGGTGGATGGCTGCTTATACTGAGCCAGGATTCTCTGGAGGTTTCTTCCTGTTAAAAGGGAGTTTTCCTCTCTACTGTCGCAGCATGCTTGCTTAGTATGAGGATTGCTGTAAAGTCACTGACACTAGTCAGTGACTCAATGCAATTTGCTGGGTTCCTTATATAGGAAACTTTTTTCTGATTGGCTTAATGAACTGACCTGCATTGGAATGTTTATTATGTGAAGTGCCTTGAGATGACTCTTGTCGTGATTTGGCGCTATATAAATAAACTTGAATAAATTGAAATTGAATTGTATTGTATTAAACAAATTTATACACAATTTAAAAAGTAAAAGGTCCGTTATATATTTATATTGAAACTTATACGTATAAAATGTAACGTAATCTCCTGTATCACATGACGTTATGTGACCGCCGTGATCTCCGCAGTCATGTGATGCAAGTCTGTTCCATTGAACCATTTTCTTTGACCAAGGAAGGACAATGTCCTCATTTATTTGGCATGTTTCATATCCTTGAATCTAAACAATTACATCAGATTTTTCCCAACATATATTTTGATTTGTATTACATCAGTTGCTCATCTTTTCTAATTCTCTCCCCCTTCTCCTCCTCTCCTAACTTAGTGATGAAGCTGCTCTCACCTTGTTACGAACATTGTCAAATGATGCTGGGCTGACAATGGAAAAGCAAATCAGGAACACGTTCTAAGGGAGCAAAATGACAAAAAAGTGACATTAAAGCTTTATCAGCAGCAACAACAATATTCATATCAAGGAGTCAATGGGCACTCTGCTGTGGAACAAAAGCTGTGAGATAGAAGGAAAGGGCTGGAGCACTTGGGTCAAAGAAGAATATTTAATTGGTCCATATAAATAATATATAACCATCTCGGTGGCCTAATAGCAGAGTGTCCACCCTGCAACTGGGAGATCAGGGTTCTATTCCTGGTCGGGTCATACTAAAGACATTAAAAATAGGACCTAATCCCTCCCTGCTTGACACTCAGCTTAAAGGGCTTGGATTGGGGGGTTAAAACACCAAATAGTTCCCAAGCACAGCCACAGCTGCAGCTCACCACTCCGCCCATGGGGACAGGTCAAATGAGGAGATGAATTTCACCAGTGTGTGATGATGACTATGGGACTTTAACTTTAACTTGACTTTGAAAAAACATTTCGACCACAGTGAGATCATCAGAGTTCACAACTGAATGAAGACACCTATGATGAAATGTTAGTTCTTTCAGAGTACCAGTTAAATACTCTTCTTTGGCCCGAGTGCTCTAGTCCCTTCCTTCTACCTTACAACTATTTATATCATTATGTGAAAAGTAATCTTTACCACGCTTGTTTTAGTCATTTAAAGTAAAAATACTTCCAAGTCAAAGCAAAGAGTTTTCCAGCTGACCGTCTGTGGGTAAGACAATGGTCTTAGCCTGTCGTAGTCCTCCTGTCCTGCTGTGTCCCACAATCCCAGTCTCATTGGTTTCCCATTCACCATCACAGAGGCAGCATAGTTGTCAAAGCTGCAGGGAAGAGGAGGAAACTTTAGCAAATAAGCTCATTTTTACTGCTTTGTAAAATATAAAGACTGAGTAGTAGGTAATTACTGCTATCCTATAAACTCTTCCTTAACTCAAGCCTCCTCTACATCTCTTTGGTCACTGGATGTGTGACTTACACTGTAGGGATGTATTCCCCAGGGAAGATGTTGGTGGTGTAGCTGATGAGCAGGCATGTCTTACCCACAGCTCTGAGAGGACAGGTGAGAGAATAATGAAAACATAAACAGCAGACTGCCTAACAGAAGCTGTCAGGTGAGGTTTGCCACCGCCTGGGTGAGCGTGTGAAGGATTCTCTGTAAAGACCAGATGGTACTCTTAAGAATGTTGTTTAACTAGTTGACATCCTCAGACTTACAGTAAAGATGTGTCACCGTCTCTGAAATCCTTCTAGTGTCTGAAGAAGTATTTAGTTTGCGTATTTTTTTATGTTTCTCAGTTTTCTATTTTTAAAAGGTAGATAGAAAATGTATAAGGAAACCGTTAGTAACATTAGTTAAGACACAAAGCCTTTCACTAATATGTTGCATAAATCCCAAACCAATCATGGAGTTTACTTTTATTCCAGGTAGCTGTCAGGTTTGTGGCTTTGATAGAATCATATAGTGTATTTATGCGCTTTTACATATATTTATATGGTCAACTACCAGAAATCACAAGCAGCTTCTAAGAGTGAGTAAAACTTGTCCTACCAAGATTTCACAACCTTCCATTCCAACTTCTGGGGAAACAAGTTTTATGTTTTTAGAACACAACACAACCAACCAACAAGGAATTTACCGGAAGACATTTCTATTCACCATTATTACTTCTGATTATATTGAAAAATAATCAAAAGACTCGTTGTGACACATTCAAACTGAAGACATCAACAAAATATAGAGCATACCAAAGAGACTCTTGTTAGTCAGTAGCTAGCTGATGCTAACTTGGTCAACAACAACTTTGTCACTTATAGGTAATAATGATGCTTCCCAGACTCTTACAATGATGAGGATAAAGCAAATATCACTCACCCATCACCCACCACCACACACTTGATATCCTGCATTAGATGTCTTGATCTGCCAACTGGGTGAGCTAAAAGTGACTAAGATGAACCGGTCTTCTTTAGTTGCCTGTAAACTTAAGCCTAGCATGATTATTGAAAATATTTCTGGAGCGCTGATGGAATCTATTCTTAACTTCCCCTTCCTCATAGTGGCAACGCCTGGTTCAGTCAGATGTTATTCAGCAGAGTGTTGCTGCTTGTTAGGAACAGGTTGGTGCAGCATCATGTGTTGTACAAGCTCAAGCCTTTTGAACCTAGTTTTGTTGGGGTTTGTTATTTCCTGCTCAAAAGTGACCTTTCCCTTTCACCCATCACCTCGTAACGACTCAGGAGTCGGAGCTCTGTCAAAGTGAGACAAACTTTTTTTTAAAACTTTGAATGATGCAACCATGATTTATTTTCAGAGAAAATATCCTTTCTGCTGCTTTGATAATCTATTTGAGGATTAACTACATAACTAATAAATGAACAGTTCAGCTGGGCTTGTCCACTAAGTTATATTAATAATGTTTCAATAGAAAGCAGTGCCACCAAGTGTTTTGGTTAGATACTAGAAAAGCATCGTAAATGTTGCTGAGGCTAAGATAAACTTTATTCAGAAATGCTGGTAACATTGAGGGGATGGCCTGTTGTTTTCTTCTATAATTGTACCCTAATAACCCAAATCTCAAAACGTTATTTTAGTTATACAGCTTTAAAGGGGACCTCTTATGCTAATCATACTTTTTGCACTTTTTTTGTGATGACACACAATTGTGGGTCTCTTCTGCTTCCACAAATACTCCAAACATGCAGTTTTCTGTCAGTGAATTTTAGGAATTACATGTTTAAAACAAGCAGTTTCAAAAAGTCCCAGATTGTGACATCACAATCAGGGATGTTAGCATAGAACTACTCCTCAGCTGTAGGGTCCCTAACAACACAAATGTTGAGGATCCAGCTTTTTTTTTTTACCAAGACGAATGCCCTGGAAGCTGGCCCAGGTTGCTGGGGAGAGGGAAGCCTGGGCCTCTGCTTAAGCTGCTGCCCCTATGACCTGACTCCATGGACTATAACCATCGATGAATGGAGACGCAACGTGACGAAGCGTTCCAGCAACAATGTTTTTGTTTTTGTGAAGTGCTTTATGATTTGTACTCTGAGAGACGCTATATAAAAGACCATTTTCTTTCTTTCATTGTAAATGGCCTGTATTTTATATGGCACCTTCTAGAGTCCTGGAACCCCCAAGACGGTTTACAACACAATCAGTCATTCACACCCTGGTGGTGATGAGCTACACTGTAGCCACAGCTGCCCTGGCACGCACTGACAGAGGCGAGTCTGCCATACACAGGCGCCAATGGTCCCTCTGACCACCACCAGCAGGCAAGGTGGGTTAGGTGTCTTGCCTAAGGACACAACAATAGTAACAGACCAAGCGGGTCTCGAACCTGCAACCTTGCAATTACGGGCCAAATGTGCAAAATGTTTCCAGCATGTGCAAACTACTATGAGGCAGACTGCTATTGCCTCGTTTCCACCAAGTGATTCATTGATTATTGAGAACCTTGACCATTATACAGCAGGATTTATAAGCAACATTTTCATGATGGAGCGAGCTGTACCAACTCTCCGTGTCAAGTCAGCAGATGAGGCAAAATGTAAGGAATTTTTGTGATCCTATTGCAGTAAATCATTAACTAACTTGGCTCAGGATCAGTTGTGTAACCAGTGTGGTGCCAAGATCTATATGCTGTAAATTAGCATGGGTGTGAAGGTGCAAATAAGACACGACCACAATTCATTTCCAGATCTAAATCATCTGGATGGGACACAACACTTTAACTGTAATGTTGTTGGTACAGAAAGCAGGAATGTCACCAGCAATTTTCCATTTTCACGTGTGATAAACGGCCAGCCTATCAGGGGATAGGTGGGCGTAGCCAGTAACAAATTGTCTCCCTTAAAGAGACAGAGCCCTGAAACGGATCATTCTGGAAGGTGCTGAAATTTTCAAGAATAGAGCTGTTGAGATTGTTTACGTAAGAGTGATTTTATGCTAAAATAAACCATGAACATATTTTGTATCAATCATAGAACAAATATTACTCCAAAAAGTAAAATAGGACACATCTCCTTTAACTCGCCATCAGTTGTGCATAGATTAGACTGATTTCTGGTTACTTTACATCTTTAATCATTTTTACATAGAAACATTAACAGATAAAATGAGCAAAAAATAAAAACAAAGAAGAGTCACTTTTATGTTTTATCTCCTTTTTCCTGTCTGATTGTTGTTGTTCATCACTGGAAGTGGTCCATCCCAACCACTGGTTTGTTGGAGTTCACACAATATTACCAAAAGAAGACCTTAAAACAGACTTAAATAAATGACCATAATTCATGAGCTTCAGTTAATCCAATTTGTAAACCAATTAAGCAGAGAAATGGTGCAAGTTACAGGCCTGGACTCTCCTCTGGATCACCCTCAAGATGAATTCCCACCAAAGAGCCCCGATCCAGCTTCTCTCTCCACTCATGTAACCTGGATTCCCTCCCAGAGATACCATACCATACCATACCATAATTTATTTATATAACACGTTTAAAATACAGCATGGGAGCTGCCCAAAGTGCTGCACAGGCTGGACCAAAACACGACCAACCAAAGCAACAAAAACTGAAGATAAAAGTATAAATCATTAAAAAATTAGGAATACTAAGAACACAATAAAACAATAACACACTAAAACACTAAAACGAGTCACGATCTAAAAGCCAAATCATAAAGGTGGGTCTTTAAACGATTTAAAAACTGCCAATGATGGAGCCTGTCAAACTAAAATGGGTAGAGAGTTCTACAGCTTTGGGGCAACATGTACAAATGCTCGTTCACCCCGTGATTTGTAACGCATCCGGGGAGTGCAAAGCAGCAGGAGGTCAGCCGACCTCAACGTGCACGTGGGTACATAGGGAGTGAGCGGGTCAGAGAGATAGAGAGGTGCCAGGTCATTAAGTGCTTTAAAGACAAAAGTCAATAGCTTAAACTGTACTTAGAAAATGACAGGGAGTCAGTGAAGATGTGTCATGACGGGTAATAAGGCTAAGTCGGTGCGTATTTGTCAAGAACCTGGCAGCAGCATTCTGGACGACCTGCAGCCGATTCAGGGCAGAGACCGGAGCACCAGCTACGAGGGCATTTGTATAGTCCAGGCGAGAGGTAATGAAGGCATGGATGACTGACTCCAAATGCCTCCGTCTCAAGATTGGTCTGAGGCAAGTAAGGCAACGAAGGTGGTAAAAGCAAGACCTCACTACGGATTTAATCCGTGGGGCCATTGAGAGTTCAGCATCTAGCTTTACCCTGAGACTTGTCACGCACTGTTTGGGGTTAAAGGTTAAAATGTCACCAACAGAGTGAGAGCCATGGTTGCGGGGGTCAAAAACAATAGACTCAGTCTTCCTTTCATTTAACTTTAAGAAATTGAATGCCAGCCAGCCTTTCACATCTTCTAAACATGCAGCAAATTGTGAGCCTGCATTATCCTCATCCATTGCTGTATATATTTGACAGTCATCAGCGTAAATATGATAGCTCAGGCCGTGCGGATTCAGGATTTTGCCCAGTGGCAGAAGGTAGATAGAAAACAGCAATGGACTGAGAACAGAGCCTTGCCCCCCCCCCCCCCCCCCCCCCCCCCCCCCCCACACACACACACACACACCCACACACCCCCACACCCCCCCAAGGTAGTGGGAGACAGGAGGATGCACAGTCACCAATCTGGACAGAGATGGATCGGTTGGATAGGTAGGAGCGGAACCATTGATGTGCCACCCCCGTCACCCCAACCCAAGACCCAAGCCGGTCCAATACAATATGGTGATCCAAGCCCCGCCTCCCAAGTACAGTGAGTGACTTTGGGAAAAGGGTCCAGACAGGACTCCATGAGCTATTAGTCCTCATCGTACCTGGATCAGCACATGATTTTTTAGGGGGTGTTTGGGTGTCTTAGTCAGCAGATATCAAGCAAGTCACCAGCATGACAAAAGACAGAAAAAGACATTAAAAAGATCGGAAAACACATTTGTTTGCTTAAAAATACATGAAAATACTCAGCAAAAACCAAAATGTTAGTAAAAAGCTCAAGAAAAGCTTCAGCAGCTCTTTGACCTGTTTCTCATTTCACAATAAAAGCTGAAACACAGTAAAATAATTCATATGTGACTTATTTTGCTCAGAGTTTGTAGAACAGGAAAAACTCATTTCCAAATAACATTTTATGTGCTTTTATGAAAACGAATGCAGCTAAAACCAAAGTATAATGTCATAAGTATGTAATACATATGATAACACTTTGCTTTTTACATCATTTACTCTGGAGAAACAAAAACGCTGGTAATTCAATTAAAAAGGTTAAGGAAATTAAAGGAGAAAAATGATTCACATAAACAAATGGATAATGAATCAGTAGTGATAAGGAGGTGAAAATAAAACAAGATGGTTCATTTTAGGAATATAGGCACAGCTGCAGGAGTCTGATGTCACATTGTGTCCAGTAGATATCCAGTTTAGGTCTTGACGACTCAGAGGGGCAGAGTTGTGACTCTCCATCACAGTATACTGCACTTTTTCCTTGGGCTTTTTGTGGGAAGAGGGTTCAGGACTGTCCTGATGGCTTCATCAAACACTGTCTTAAGGCCGCGTTGCGTCAAAGCTGAGCACTCCAGGTATTTCACTGCTCCTGTTAACCAAATAAAGACTTTTAACGTATTAAACTGACATTATCACAGTCACCATGATGTCACGGGTAAAAATGATTCAACTCTAGGCTTTTAAGTGTCCGGAAAAAAAATAAAAGGTGTCTTTACCCGCTTCTGAAATTATTCAAATCTAACCTCAAGTGTAAAAACACAGGAAATTCCACTATGTCCTTTTAAAGCCAGAATGGGAAAGCTGTGAGTGAAAAGTTTATCCTTGCAGCTTCATATGGATTTAATAGCTGCTGATTAAAGGAAAACTAATTAAGTTTTTTTCCTATTTTTAAATAATTTTCTTGAGCTAGTATGTGCTGAAATTACTACCCTTTACAGGGTTAATAAAACGTTTCTCAGCCCCCAATGTCCCCTGTGCCCAGAATACCACACTTGCAACTTCAGAGTATTTGGACTAATGCCCTGAAGTCTCACAAAGTCACCTGTCGCACGAGAAGCCAAAGTCACACCCATCAGGACCATGGGTTTCCCGGAAGAACGAAACAATGGAAGTCAAAGAAGATTTAACATCGGGAGTTTTCTGAATCACGTTCAGACAAGTCCAGCCGAATCCTGCCGGCTAGGCGCTCGTAGCTTGTAGAGTAACTTGCCAGTCAGCGATCATCACCCAGCACTCTAAATCTGTGTTTGGGTTTACTGACATGCTAGATTTTCCCTGTGGTCACGATTCCTCCTCACAGGATCTTGTTCATATTATTGACTAGGAACTCTATTAGTCAAAAGTAATGTGGCTAGCCGACATGCTAGTGCTGCAGTCTGTTTCCAGCACGTTTCCTGCATGTTTTACATTATGAATACAGCTCATTTATTTAGGGATGAACCACTCCTGTAGAAACTAATGAAGACTGAGGAGACATTTCAACAGTTAGATTAAGGTTGTAAAAGCACAAACTCACAGCGAGGAGGAGAGTTTCAGTTTCCGTTCTAGTACAGTCAACTCAAACAGATTCTTGAGGGTGCTAAAAGCAAACTAAAACTGCAGCGTGTTCCTTTAAAAACACTGATTATCTGATCATGACTAGTGTGGCAGCTGGGGTGTTGGTTGTTTTAGTGGTCTGGAGCATACTGGTGTGTGTAAACACAATGCTACAATTACAGATTAGTGGCAACAGTTCCTTCCTATTAGTCAGGGAAGAATTTACTTGCATTTTCAAACATAATTTAAACATAAAAATATAACTTTACTTGTAAATATTTAAAATGTTTTGAAACATATGTGTATACACAAGTAGCTTAAAATGACCTATGTCTTTGGTCATGGCCAAGCCCTGAGGATATGTGATGGGACTCTGTTTTTCTTCTTTGAGCTTTTGGATGACTTCCTCATCATCTCTCATGTCCAACATGGTGCCCACCAGGATGATAGGTGCTTCTTTGCAATGGTGTTGCAGCTCGGGATACCACTGAAGGAGGAGGACACTATAAGGACTTCCACTAGAGACAGTATAAAAGCAGCTTGAAATGACTATCTTCTTGTTTAGCAATTATATATATATATATATATATATATATATATATATATATATATATATATATATATATATATATATATATATATATATATATATAATTATTATTATTACATCAGTTTTTGTTTAGGTATGCTTACCTTGGCACGGACATTTTCAAAGGATGCTGGCCTGACTATTGAAAAGCAAATCAGGAACACATTCTGAGAGCAAAAAGAGATAAAATACAACATAAAAATTGTTAAATCACTGAGATTATATTTACCTTTATAATAATAATTATATATACATATACATACATATATATATATATATATATATAATGTATATATATATATATATAAACATTTGTGTGTGTGTGTGTGTGTGTGTGTGTGTGTGTGTGTGTGTGCGTGCGTGCGTGCGTGCGTGCGTGCGTGTGTGTATGTGTGTGTGTGTGTGTGTGTTTTAGCTCTGTTAGCTATGGCTAGAGGCATGAACATGAGCACTGCTTCCAGCCGTAATCACGGAAGTACAGAAGGTGCAATAAATTATTTCCACCTCTAGATGGTCTCCTCTGACTCGAAGCTCTAGATTTCTGTTTAAAATATTGAAATGAATCACATCTGCTGAGTAAGCAGCAACACCCACACACAGATGGCCAACTCTTGGTCATGCTGTCGACCTGAAGTTTATGCTAGCTCCAGCTAGCAGCACAGAGTTAAAACACACCGTCTGTGGGTAGGACAGCGGTCTGAGTCTGTCGTAGTCCTCCTGTCCTGCTGTGTCCCACAGATTCAGGGTCACTGGTTTCCCATCAACCATCACATTAGCAGAGTAGTTGTCAAAGCTGTAGAGAGAGGGGGTTACCTTTAGAAACAAGCTGACTGGGTTAACCTCAAAGATATGAAGATAAGTTCTGGACAGATAAAGTTCCGTCTTTAAATTTAGTTCTTTACCTAGATGACATTTTAGTTGCACGACATCAATTTATTACTTAATGGTGACAGACTTCTTTTCTGAATGTTTTTTCTATCGTGCATGCGTGTGTGACTCACACTGTAGGGATGTATTCTCCAGGGAAGGCGTTGGTGGTGTAACTGATGAGCAGGCATGTTTTACCCACAGCCCTGATTAAGGGATTAATGAGAACTTTTATTAGGCTCATTGATATGTTTCGATGCTAAATGACATTTCTTCGTTTCTCATGATTAATTATTAAAACTTATATTAATGTAAATATACACTAAATTAGTAATTTATTTATTTAATCAGTTACCCTATATCAGGTCACCAACCTGGGCACAGTCCAAAGTCTAAAATAATACATATATAGAAAAATATTCTGCTGTCATATTTTTTAAATCACAAATGCATTAATGTAGAGTTAAAAAAAACTACAATTTTTTTTAAAAAGAAACACTTGTTTATTTTTTGTGTAGCCCTTCGTGTGGCTCAATACCCATGAAGTGGCTCTCAGCTTCACAAAGGTTGGTGACCCTTTGCCTATGTTGTCATTCATTCATTCTTACCAAACAATAAAATCAATATTATTTCTGTAAACCTTCCCACAATTTAACCTACACACATTTTAGGATTTACGAAGATCGTTGTCATCTGTTTTGCTCATAAATTCCCTTCAGCGTATAGACGACACATTTTACTTGCACCAAATAAAAGTAGACACTCTGTAATCTGAAGAAGACATGTCCTAAACTCTTATTATTCATTTTCCAATTACTTGTCAATTAAATAATCACATTTACTACAGCTCTTGTGCAAAAATATGTAAATAGTCTAAATTAAGTCATGGGTTATCACATGGGATCCACATGTTCCATATATCTCTTTAACAGGGTTAGTACATTCATCAAACATCTTCATTAGATCCGGTACAAGACTTCTGCCTCCTTGTCAGAAATGTTTCTGATAATTACATAATTGTTTTATTGCCATTAGCCTATGAACAGATCAATATTTTATAATAAATATTTTTCAAGTTGTTATTGTTGATTCAGACATTTATAGGTTAACATCCCAACTTGGCAGAGTTCAACAAAACTTCCAGTTAGTCTGAAAAACTTGTCTGACCAGGATTTTTACAAGCTTTCATTCCAACATGGGTTGAAACCATTCTGGTTTAAATGTCCGTTTTTGTTCAGATAATCTCCTACATCTATTCTACAACAGTAGCCAAAGGTTTTGAGAAACACTCAAATATTCATTTACACAAAGTTTGTCACTGCAATGCATTTTTTTTAGCAAATAATAGTTTACAGAACCTTTGGCTGTGCTCAGAAGGTGAGTTGACCTTCAACTCAACTGCATTTATCATTTTCAGTTCTTCATTTATTACTGACATCCCAGTTAAGAAACATGCTGTAAAACTGCAAACGCACCTAAAGCTTTGGAATATAAGTCTTAGAAGAGACTTTTAACACTGATTATACATGAGTGGATATGACATCATTTTGTACTAAGTGTGTGTGGAAGTTCACAGATTTTTGGTGAGAGCTGTTTACAAGTTGCTCAGAGGGTTGGAAGTTTTGATGAAACACCACTAAAGTGCAGGCTTTCCATATATTCTCTCACCAGTGCTGAAACGTTCCACCATAAAATGACAAGTGCTTAGATAAAAACCTAGCCCAGTGGCTAATAATACATAAAAAGGCTTGTTAGCCACTAGTTTGCTGTTGCTAACTAGGTCAATGAAAGACAAAACAGCTTTAATTTGTTTTAAAATGGGTCAAAGTGTTAGAGAAAAAAGTTTAAATGATCGTTTAAATCTAAATGAACTTACCCATCCCCCACCACCACACACTTAATGGACTGCATTGGCTGGATCAGTCTCTAAAAGCAGCCACCGACCACTCTTCCTTCGTTACATGAAACCAGGTAAATAAGCCTGGAGCGACGGACGCAACACTGAATGATTCCAGCAGGTATCATCAGATCTCCACTTCCTTCTTAACCAGATCTGATGAATCTCTGGAATTTAACAGGAGAATTACTTCTGGGAACAAAGACAGAAACTAGTTATGCTGACTACTCACCTCTTTATCTCCGAAATCAGTTAAACAAAATAATTGTTTTGTTGTTGTTAAGAACCCATGGTGCTACAGCCCATTTCAAGCATCTGCAGAATGTCTACTCGAGTCATATATTCAAGTTTGACAACCTCAAGATACATACTATCCAAAAAATTATCAATAATTCATGGACTTCTTTATTTGTTTGTTTGTTTTCCTAAATTTTTATCTATTTATTCCCTTCATGTTTCTATTCTTTTAAAGTTTGGGTTATTAAAACTAAATGTAGACTTTGTGATTAAAACCCTCTAAACACAAAGAGCAGCTTAATGTGATTTCTGTACTAATAAGGGAATGTTATTGTTCAGAGAATTTTGAAAAGTTGTCAGAAGCCAATCATAAAAAGTGACTACAACTCTGTTGGACTGAACCACTAGGTGGCAGTGTAGGGCTCGTACTCACAGAGGTGTAGAAGAAGGTTCTCCTGCTGCTGAGAGAATGAAGATTATTGCTCCTCTCCTGTAATAAAGCTCCATTTGGATAAAGTTGCTAGTGCCTTATTTCCCACCTACTTTAAAAAATAAACTCTTAACCCCTCAATTCTTGAAATATGAACCTAATATAAATGATTTAAACAATTTCTATTAATATAACAATTGTATAAAAATCTGTCTCATTTTATAATTAAGCAACAATATATGAGTAATAAAGAAATAAAACTGGCCCACACCACCTGCAGATCCTCCAGTAGAGGGCAGTATACATGTGTAGAAATGGATATGGCAGCTTTATGATGAAGGTACTAATCCATCTTTGCTTTAGTGGTTTGGTGGGAATTTGCTTCAAACGGTTCCTATGGGTTGGTCTCCCGTCATCAGTTAAAGTTGATCATATAAAAGTGTGCAACAGTTTTACTCCACAGGCAGCAGGACTGGTACATTCTCAGTAATTAACATCAGGACACGAGAAACATGCTTCAGTCTGTCAAATACATTTTGATCAACATCAAATTGCTTGATACTTTGACAGTGATAATAAACAGCAAATCCTAATTAAATTGTAAATAGTTAAACAATCACAAAAACTATAGAAACGTAGGTGATGTTTAAACAACACCACATTTTTTGGTGTTAAAATTTTCATAAATGAAGAGTTCAGTTGCAAAAACAGAAATTTTTTTAATGAAAATCACCAAACTTTATTTTGACTGATGTCAGCTGAACTAAGTAATAAACATATTTATTTGTTTACATTTCTAAAAAACTGTGTATATGTTTTTGAAATCAAACCCTTTTTTTTTATTATTAGCTGAACTTTATCTCTATATTACTGTAAATGTAAGCTTCAGCTGCTAAAGGCAGATATGTGCCAGAGGGTAGACTGAGGATTTTGCAATTACGTAGTTTCATTTTAGCATTGACAAAAAAAAAAACTCATGGAAGAAACACATTATTATCACTCCTCAGACTGAAACAGTGTGTGTGTGTGTGTGTGTGTGTGTGTGTGTGTGTGTGTGTGTGTGTGTGTGTGTGTGTGTGTGTGTGTGTGTGTGTGTGTGTGTGTGTGTGTGTGTGTGTGTGTGTGCACGTGCGTGCGTATGTATCTCTAAAGTATGCTACATTTCTTCTCCTGTGGTTTGGGGGGTTCAGTGGACTGAATATCTGAGTGCGGGACAGATCTGATGGCTTCTTCAAACACCTCCTTAACCCCCTGCTGGGTCAACGCTGAGCACTCCAGGTACTTCACCGCACCTGGATACCAAAATAAAAAGGTACACCTGTTAAAGCAGCAACAATCAAACTTTTAATTTCAATACAGTTCAAAGACCTGAGCCTGTACCCCCAAACATGTAAGGTTCCCTTCACAAAATTATCCTTATAATTCTACAAACATATGAGTGTATCTGTGGAGCTCCAGGTGACCTATTCTTTCAGCCATGGCCTCGCCCTGATGGCTCATGATAGAGCAGTTGTCTTTCCGGTCCAGCATGGTGCCCACCAAGATTATTGGAGTTTCTTTGCAGGACTTTCTCACCTCATAATGCCACTGCAGGAGGAGAACAGAGACATGGACTATGTTTATTTAGGATTATTTTGACCGGTGTCCTAACTAAATACAAATCTAGACTGATCTTAACTTGAAGCTGTTCTCACCCTTTCACGGACATTTTTAAAGGAACATGGATAGCGAAAAGCATATCAGGACCACATCCTAAAAGAGAAATAAAGTCATGTAATTGTCCTATAAGGGGTAGAGATAAGAAACTGTTTTCACTGGTTTGTGTAAGCTCACACACTCTGTATAAACCTACTATCTGTCGGTAAAGTGCAGCCCAAAAGCCTTCAAAATGTTCATGTCCTGATCTGTCAAACAGAGTCAGTCTCACTGATTTTCCATCCACCACTGCATTTTTAGTGTAGCGGTCCAAGTCACTGAGAGGGAGAGAAACAAAGTTTTTTATTATTATTATTATTCAGTTTAAAAAGGCAACAAATCAGGCTTTCCAACAATATAAAACAACACCAGCTGGTATTACAGGGCAGAAATTGTTAACTGAAACATTTTCTAACCATTTCATGGTTGTTATCAATCACATGGATGGTTTACATGTAAGTAGTGTAACTTACACTGTAATGTTGGGCATTTTTCCAGGGTAGGCATTGGTGGTGTAGCTGATGAGCAGACATGTTTTACCCACCCTGAGAAGACACGAGACACAAATGAGAACAGCTGATTAACATTTTCTTGCTGTCTGATCGGAAACAACGTCAACTGATTCTCCTCAACAGTTAGCTAATTATTTAAGAACATTTACAGGGTTCTCAGTCAGTGGTGGATTTAAGCAGTTTGGGGGCCCAGGGAAAACAAAGGCCTCATAATCACCTGGTCTACTGGTTTATCGTCCACCTGGTCCAACAGTTCTTTCCTTCAGGAGTTAAGTGACTTTTTATCCTCTAATGTGAAGCTGTTCAGACTGGTGACTGTTAATCATTTTAACATTCACATTAATTATGACTCTGACCACTTTGACATGACCTTTTCCAGCCTCATGGACTCTTTCACTTTTACTCAGCATGTTTCTGGCCCCACCCACACCAATTCAATTCAATTCAAGTTTATTTATATAGCGCCAAATCACGACAAGAGTCGTCTCAAGGCACTTCACATAATAAACATTTCAATTCACAGTTCATCAAGCCAATCAGAAATAATGTTTCCTATATAAGGAACCCAGCAAATTGCATCAAGTCACTGACGAGTGTCAGTGACTATACAGCAATTTTCATACTAAGCAAGCATGCAGCGACAGTGGAGAGGAAAACTCCCTTTTAACAGGAAGAAACCTCCAGAGAATCCTGGCTCAGTATAAGCAGCCATCCTCCACGACTCACTGGGGATCGAGAAGACAGAGCAGACACACACACACACACGCACGCACACACACACACACACACACACACACACACACACACACACACACACACACACACACACACACACACACACACACAATAATGTGTCTATAGTTCTATTGTGATATCTTAGTAAATATTCTGTTTGGTGAGATCAACTTTATTGTATTTATCCTAGTGGATCTCTAATTAAATGGGTAAACTAGCAGTAACACGTCCAACGTCAAGGAAAGCAAAAAGTTATTATCAGGAGAAGGAGAATGTTTAAGTGGTTAGCAGCAGTGTGCTAGACGATGGCCCCCTCCATGAGGCCACCACAGCTCAGCAGAACATCGTTGTAGCTTCTTCTAGGGAGAAAAACACTTAGAGAGAAAATAAAGTTAACAGCTGAAATTGCAGAAAGTAATACAGTTAAAGAGCAGACTGTAGAAGAAAGCAGTAGAGGGTGGAAAGTGGTCAGTGTATCCTCCAGCAGTCTAAGCCTATAGCAAAATAACTACAGAGATAACTCTGGATAATCTATCCTATTTAGATGGAGGCATGTTGGAGGCAGGGCAAGGGAGAGTCGTCTTTACCGACTGTACACTCCACCTCCCTCTACTCCCCCACTTGTCCTGATTTAGGCTAACATCAGATTTTAACCATAGGCCCTATCAAATAAAAATGTTTTAAGCCTATTCTTAAATGTAGACAAAGTGTCTGCCTCACGGACTAAGGCTGGGAGCTGGTTCCACAGGAGAGAAGCCTGATAACTAAAAGATCTGCCTCCCATCCTAATTTTAGATATTCTGGGAACCACCAGTAAACCTGCAGTCTGAGAGCGAAGTGCTCAGTTAGGAACGTATGAAACAATCAGATCACTGATGTATGATGGAGCTTGATTATTAAGAGCTTTGTATGTGAGAAGGAGGATCTTAAAATCTATTCTGAATTTAACAGGTAGCCAATGTAGGGAAGCTAAGACAGGAGAGATATGATCGCTCTTTTTAATTCTCATCAGAACTCTAGCTGCAGCATTTTGAACAAGCTGAAGACTTTTAACTACATTCTGTGGACTTCCTGAGAGTAATGAATTACAGTAATCCAGTCTTAATGTAATAAATGCATGAACTAGTTTTTCAGCATCACTCCTGGAAAGTATGCTTCTAATCTTAGCAATATTCCGAAGGTGGAAAAAGAAAATCCTACAAACTTGTGAAACCTGGGATTTGAATGACATGTCCTGGTCAAAGATAACACCAAGGTTCCTTACTTTGCTCTCGGAGATTAATGTAATGCCATTCAAGTCAGGTGATTGGCTAAGCAATTTCCTTTTCTGGATTTCTGGTCCAAAGATGAGAACTTCAGTCTTGTCTTGATTTAAAAGCAAAAAGTTTAGAGTCATCCAATGTTTTATGTCCTCAAGACAAGCCTGTAATCTACCCAACCGATTAGGTTCATCAGGGTTAATTGATAAATATAGCTGAGTATCGTCAGCATAACAGTGGAAGTTTATCCCATGCTGTCTAATGATTTTACCATTTTGGAGCATATATATAGTAAAAAGAATTGGTCCAAGCACTGAACCCTGTGGTACTCCGCAAGTAACCCTGGAGTATGAAGAAGATTTGTCATGTAATTTACAAAATGAAATCTGTCAGACAGGTAGGATTTAAACCAGCCTAACGCTGTTCCTTTGATCCCTACAACATGTTCAAGTCTTTCTAAAAGAACATTGTGATCAACTGTGTCAAAGGCAGCACTGAGATCTAACAAGACTAGAACAGACACAAGATTCTTATCTGAGGCCATGAGAATATCATTTGTAACTCTCACTAATGCAGTTTCAGTGCTGTGATACTCTCTAAAACCAGACTGAAATTCCTCAAACAGAGCATTAGTGTTTAAATGCTCACATACTTGGATGGCCACTATTTTCTCCAGGACTTTGGATAAAAATGGAAGGTTAGATATTGGTCTATAATTCATTGGGTCATCTGGATCCAGAGAAGGCTTCTTAAGTGAAGGTTTGATTACAGCAACCTTAAAATATTGTGGTGCATACCCTAAGGATAGGGACCACCATCACACATGACCTTAGGTGGGAGCCATCCATCAGCTCCCTGATCAAAAAGGCCCAGCAGAGGATGTACTTTCTGCGGCAGTTGAAAAAGGCCAAGCTGCCGGCCCAGATGATGGTGCAGTTTTACACGGCCATCATTGAGTCCTTCCTCACTTCCTCCATCGCTGTGTGGTACGCTGGAGCCACGGTGAGGGACAAACACAGACTGCAGCGCATTGTGCGCTCTGCTGAGAAGGTGATTGGCTGCAGCCTTCCATATCTCCAGGACCTGTACGTCTCCAGAACTCGTGGGCGTGCAGGTCGGATAGCAGCTGACCCTTCTCACCCGGGTCACAGACTTTTTGAGCCGCTTCCCTCAGGCAGGAGGTTACGGTCCATCCGGACCAGAACCTCTCGCCATAAGAACAGCTTCTTTCCATCTGCCGTTAGACTTGTGAACAGCTTATAAACACACAACCATGCTCGTCTTCGGTACTTGACATAACGTCACGTTATCGGCCATATTACCTTTACCTGCCATTTTTTATAGCAAAGTTTTATGCTAGTTTATTATATTTTATTCTACTTTATTTTATTTTTAATTATATTATT